GACTAACAAAGACTGTCACATGCATTCATTTATAAATAATAGTCATGCTGTGTGTTTGTAGGCTGGACATCTTTTAACTTTAAAGAAGAGCTTTCATGTCTATGATCTCATGTCACCCGGCACATGATTATTATAAAACTCCCCTCTGAGGCTACCTTGTTCCAGCTGGCAGAGACAGCTGGGTGAAGATAAGGAGGATCCAAAATCATCACGACACAGGCATCCAGCCCTTTGAAGTCCCTCAACGTGGTGTTCTGCTTAAGGTGAAAATGTACACAGGGCGCGAACCCAGGAAACAGAGAATAAGGCTCCTCCCAGGAATGTCTTTGGAGATTCCCTAAATGATGGGGGGTAGATTAATCCAGGCTGATGTCGGGCATTCAGAAAGCGCAGAATTGGGGCCAGGGATTTAGCTCAGCGGTGTAAGCGCCTGCCTGGCCACCTGAAGGTCATGTGTTCCATCCTCAGTACCAAAAACTAAAAAACAAAGAATGAATCATCCAGAAAGCTCAGAACTGGAAACTTCTCTCTTGGGACCGAATGGCCAGTTTCAGTTTACTTTACCTGTGGCTGTGACTTTTTTCTTATCTTCATAATTTCTTCCTGTGACTGCTTTTGTTTTCAGGGTGGTTGTTCAGCCACTATATTCTTGTCTAATCTTTTAGTTTTTCCTGTTTTCCTGCGACTGGGTACAATCCCCATGTTATTTCCCTAAAGTTCGTCTGTGGACCACAGAAGCGCCCTTATTCTGGGTTTAATAAAGAGGCATTAAACAAAAAACAAAAGACAAAACAAAACAAAACAATTCAAAACTCCAAACAAACTGAAGGAATAAAAATAATCACTGATGGTGCGACTCCTCCTACCTCCCTATCTCTGTTGACCTAATACCTTCAGAATTCCACCTGGACAGAAGTCCCTGTGTGTCACCTTCCCTGGAGCAAACACTGGGGAGATTGCTTCACAGCAAACAGCCAGGGCATTTGAATATCTGGATATGATATGCTGTCACACACTTAGATGCGGGGTGAATTCTTTCACCCCAATTACTCAGGGAGTAATTAGCACCTGATTACCCTATGATCAATTATTTTCATTTTGCTCTTTTGTATGGTTGTGGAAGAACTAGAAACCCAGTTCGCAGTTGCTAGCGGGGGGCCCTCCCATTCCCCCATCCTCCCATCCCAGCCCTGACCCTGCGGATGCTGTGATGCAGTTACTTTCTTCTTGTCAGGTCCTGGTGCTCTTGGACAGTGAGCTTTGCCTTGCCTGTTCTTTGGAATAAGACCGTGTCTTGTATGCAGTAGGCACTCCATAAACACTAAATAAGCCCACTTTGAAGGCCTACACCTGTAATCCCTGCTACTGAAGAGATTGAGGCAGGAGGATTGCAAACTTGAGACCACCTTGCACAACATTGCTAGATCCTATCTCAAAAAATAAAAAGGACTGGGTTCAATCCCTGATACTACAATAATTAACTACTGAATTTTCATTTATTTTTTTATTTTAGTTTTTTTGGGATATGGTATCTTGCTGTGTAGCTTAGGCTGGCTTTGAATTTACTACGTAGCTCAGGTGGGCTGCATATTCATGGTGATCTCCCTGCTTCAGCCTCCTGAGTGCTGGAATCATAGTTGTGAGCCACCATACACAGTGACTGAATTTTTTAAAAAGCAGCTTATTATTATTATTTTGGGTTCCAGGGATCAAACTCAGGACATTGCACTTGCCAGGCAGGCACATGTGTCACTGAGCTAAATCCCCAGCCCTCAGCAGCTTATTTTTTCGTCTTCTGTGTATGTTTTCTTTTTGTAAAATGAGAAGAAATAACTGCTTATCGGTATATCTTCTAGGTTTAACATTCTATGATATCCTTTGGGAAGGCGTGCTAAATGACCTTCTATTTCCATGGTTGTCCTACGCAAGAGACTTTCTGATGCAACCCTTGTCTAACCTCTTCAGCCCACAAAGGTATTTCCTACTGAGCCAGTGGAACACACATCATTTGTAACACCTATTTGTTATCTAGCGATAGTGTCAGGTTGTTCTTTAGATTTTTCATGTGCGTAGGGCCTTTGGGTGCAACCTGAGTGAAGGCTTCCAAAGCCAAATATCGTACAAAATGTGTTCAGTGAATATGTGTCAGATGAGCATCATATCAAAGCACAATGCTGTTCTATCTGGAGAGGGTGCGGGGCTTAGAGGAAACACAAGAACCAAGATGAATACAAGTTGGTGGTTTAGGAAACTTGGGGTATGAAGATGATGTTTTTCAAGACAAGGGATCCCTGCAAGTGGAGTGGATTTGGAGGAAGGACGAGAGGAAAAGGAATTTCACAAATGCGGCATTCAATAATTCCTTCTTGGTGATTCTTCAAGATCAGCCAAGGAAAGACTGAGACATGAAATCGTGGCAAGGGAATACAAGGAATGATTGAATTCATGGTGACTGTTTAAATTTAATAAAATTTAGTAAAAGATGTGTTGTGATTAATCTACTCAGAATACTCCCACTCGATTTGAACGTGGGTGTCATTCTTACCACTTTCTGAAGCAGTTCGGAATGCCCTCTTTGTGTCCTTTTGAGGTGTGATTACTAACACGGTGATCACTGCAGCCAAGCCCCACCTCAAGGAGGGGCAGGCTCATAAAAATCTCACTGTGTGTGGTTCATGTCTCATCCTCCTTATCCAGTGGCTTGATACTGTGACTTCTGTCCTCCAAAGTCAAAAGACCTCAGGATGGCCACAATACTGCCCCCAACAGTACTCAGTACCTTACTGTAGTATGGTCCCTAGCTTCTCAACTGAGTGAACACAGTTTTGGAAATCCTAGTACATACCATGTACGAAGAGAAGCAGAGCCAGGAGACTTCCTGGAGAAAAACATTTACGTTTTCTTTTGGTGCTGCACTAAAGGAGAACATGAGCCTACCACTTGGCTTTCTCAAAGAGATCACTCTGTTAGCTAAAAAAGAGCCGGTATTAACCAGCAAGCGTGGGAGAACAACCCCACATTCACCCTGGTCCTGTAGTAAACGGGCTTCTTAGATCTAATTCAAAGGCAGTACGAAACCTCAACATGGAAAAAGAAATGTTCTAAGTGAAGTAAGTCATACACAGAAGGCTAGCTATTGCATAGCTCCTCTCACTTGAGAAACCCAAAATATAAATAAAGAGAGATGATTAGAGGGGAAAACAAAAACTAGATGTTCTGAGAGAGCTGGCTATTTCACTTGGTCCATGTCTTTTAGGACCATAGTGTATCTTCAAACTTCCCTTCAATGTTTTATTTCAGTCTTAACAGCATCGGATTTTTAAAAAATTTCCCTACATGGGCATGAAAAGCTCAGAGGGTAACAGTAAAGGAAAACGGGTGCGGTGGGTTACACAGCACTGAGATACACTCTTCTTCCCCGTTTCTTTGGAGAATAATTTTACATGACAAAATGAACCTATCTCCAATTGAAATGAGTGTTTTACTAGTGTGAATCCAACTACTGCTTTCTGATGTACTTACATCAGTGATGTTGTCTTAACATTTATCCAACCTGACAAAGGATACGTTAGTTCTGTGTATGTCTCAGGTCACCTTTCTCACAAGGTCTGGGGATGCAGCTCAGTGACAGAGTGCTTGTCTGGCCTGTGCAAAACCCTGGCTGGATTTGATCTCTAGTACCAATCAATCAGTGGATCAATGAACCAATCAATAATAAATAGGTTTATTGAGGTATAATTTACATTCGATCAAATTCACCTTTGAAAATTTTCTAGGTCTAAGAGTTTGATGAGGATCCACAGCCACATAACCACAACCATAATCTGAGCTGTTTCCTACATTCTAAAATGTTCCCTCCCACTCCTTCCGATTTTCTTCCTCTCCCTAACCCCCCCATGGCACCCCCTAAGCTGATTTCTGTGCTTAAGACACTTTTCAGTCCCTATGCTATGTTTTCATGGTTCCTCCTAAGACAAGTCATTCCCCTGGGTGATATCTCCCTGGGTTTGTATCCCTACAGTGCCCAAGGTGGTACCCAGGACCTAAAAGATACTTAGTTCACAGGTGCTGAATTAATGAATGAATCTTTGGGGTTTAAGATTATGCCAAATCACATTAGAGACTCTCCTCTATAATTTCCATGATGAGCCATCAAGGAGAGGCTACTAACTATGGGAAAAGCCTTTCCCACAGCCTTTGCTATCTATACAATCTTGTAAAAACATGGGATGTAATGATTTCCGATTTAAGAGATTTGGCAGATCTCAAGCATTTCCCTAGAAATTGGACTTGGGCAAATAACTTTTGAGGGAGAATGCAACCACTGACCCAACTGACCCCATTTTCCCCGTTCTCTCTTGTCTGGCTTTGCTGAGTTTCCCTCAGTTTATCTTGAGTTCCAGATCAGAGGTCTGACAGGTAAACACGCTCTGATGGAAATCAAACTGCCTCCCAAGCAGCAGGGACTCTGCATGACCAGTCCCCGAGTAACAATCAAGCAGGCCCTGACCTGACCAGGGTCTCCAGCTATGTCAGCCCCTCCACTCTTGCTTTGGTTCTCCCTGGTATAACCCCGAACCATCCTGCTTTACCACCCATTTTTACATTTGGCTCTTTGGGATGAGTGGCTGGACCTGGTGTGTTAACCCCTCTGTCCCCACCATGAGTCCTTTGTCCTAGGATTCTGGTGACCCCGGGCAGCGGTAATCACTCTATTTTTGATCACATTTGGCAAAGGCACTCAGGAAAGAAGACAACTTTCAGTATTACTTCAGAGAGCCCCAGGTCCTGAGTTCGATTCATAGTACAAAAAAAAAAAAAAAAAAAGCGGCAAGATGATTAGACAAGTGAAGCAAGAGGGGGTGTTCTAGGGGGGTTCATGGCAATGTGCCCTTTACTGCAAAACGCTGCTTTTTAAGCTGGAAACATTCACTGCGGGCAGTTTTTCCATCACACCTGGTATGATGCACACCAGTTCACGATGCAGGAGAAAATAAACTGCAGCCCAGGTCGCGCTGGCTTGGGTCACACATCTGAGGGTGCGGAGGAGCAGCCCCCACCCCCAGGTCTCCGCCCCAGCTCTGCGGGCGGTGGGAGGAGTGGGGTGGGGCCTGCGAGCAGGGGCGGGACCCCGAGGCCACCTGGCCCAGCTCCCGGCCCGTGCGGCGGGACAGCGCGATGGACGTGCAGCGCTGCGAGGCGGACGCGGGCTCCGGGCCCCCGGCCTACGACTCGGTGGCCGCCTGGTGGGACATGGTGCGCAGGGACCTGCGGTGAGTACACGCCCCGGGGCCCGCGGGCCGGGCGCTGCCTCTGCTCGCAGCCTCCACTCTTCCAGGACCTTGAGCTGTTGCTGGGGCTCCTGGAATAGAGTCCGGCGGGCGGCTCCGGCTCCTGTGCCCTGCGCTTTCACCTGGCCCTTTTCCTGCCGTCTAAGATGGTTTTACACTGCACGCTGCAATCTTGGGGGGCGTCTCTCTGGGCCAGGGCCAATTCCGTGTCAGTGTCGCTCTCTAGGCGCGCATAATAGCTAAATTTTTGAAAGTTGCAGGTTTGTTACTGCAGGTTTGCAATAATTCCCCTTCCCTTGGGCTTACCCCCACCTTCTCTCAGTGACCTTTTCATTTGCTAATGTTCTGTCTCCCTGTTTCCTATTATCCATCTTTTATTTTGCTTTTTCATTTATTTATATTTTGGGTATCTCATATAAGAGAAACCATGCAAACTTGGCCTGGTGGCTCTGCCTGTAATCTCAGCACTTGGGAGGCTGAGGCAGGAGGATCACTGTGAGTCTGAGGCCAGTGTGGGCTACAAAATGAGTTCAAGGCCAGCCTGAATTGCATAGTGAAACCTCATCTCAAAAAAGCCAAATAAAAAGTAGAGAGAGAGAGAGAGACAGAGAGAGAGAGAGAGAGAGAGAGAGAGAGAGAGAGAGAGACTCCACGACACCAGGCAGTATTTAAGTTCGTTTGTCTCATTTATTTCACTGAACGTTGTGGTCTTAGAGGGTGTTCAGTGTTCTTTTCTCACTGTCTCCCTCTCCTCTCTCTAGTGTTCTGCATAGAGCTAGTGACTGACTGTTTAACATTCATTTGGCAGGAAAGATCAATTATTAGGCAGAGAATCAAAGCTGTAGTTCCAGCTCTTAGAGAACAGCCCACCTTGTTGACAGTGGAATGGGAGCTAGGCAGTTGGGGACCCTCTTTAAAAAAACCACTTCCTGGAAGAATGAGATACTGGTGCATTTCTTCAGGCAAACAGGAGATTCTTGCCCCAGTGAGAGTTGTATTAAGGCTGAGGCGGCGACCCCTGTCCAGCGTGCACTGCCGGAGCCGAGTGAGTCTGGACCAGCGCAGCTTGTGGAGGGCTTGCTGTGTACCGGCCCTGCTCTGGGACTGGGGCTGTAGGGAGGTGTCTCAGGGCTCAAGGAGACACCCAGTCATGGGAGTTTTTTGAGATCATGTTTTAGTGCCTTGGTTATCTGTTTATTTTACAAATATTTCATAGTTGTTGCTTGAGATGGGTGTACCCAGGAAAGTAAGTCTCTGTTTGTAAATGGTTTTCTTAGAAATACATTCTTGGAAAAAAAAAAAAAAGAAATACATTCTTGGGAAAGAAGTTGGGGGAAGCCAAGGGCTGTTCTGCTGCTTGCTTTCCCCTGTGTCACCTCAAGTCATCACATTTCTAAATTCTGAGAAAATCCCCATGAGGGGGCTGAAACCCTTGCCCCTCTGCCCAGGTCCCTGGCTCATGGGGGTAAATGAAACAGGCAGAAATTGCCACTCCTGGGGAGCTCATGTTAATTCCTTTTCAGTTGTAGTTTAAACAAATTGAGTAAAAGAATGGAGCACCCCTTCCGTCCCCCAAGCTATCAAGGAGTATGACTTCCTTCTCCCTTGGGAGAGAAACACCCTCCTTCAGTCCTCAGCCTGGCCCTGTGCTAAACTGTAGGTGTGAAGGAGTCCTGGTCTGCTGGGATTCCTCTGGCTGGGGCCTGGCTATTAGTGGGGAGGCTACGAGGGCAGAAGGATCAGCGAGACCCCTGTTGTTAGTGGTGGAAAGAGAAGCCAGCCCAGTTAGATCTGCGTGGAGGAGCTTTGCCAAAGAGGAGTGGGCGTGAAGGACCAGAGAGACTGGGTTGCCAGGGTGTGAGCTGTTGGCCCACAGGAGGTGGCTGCGTGAATCGACCTGCGGGACAGATGTGCGCAGGAGATGATGTCTTAATGCTTGGAATAGTTGTCCAGCCTTGTGGGATTCTGCCTGGGCTCCACAAAGGTTGGAGCAGAGTGATTCACTCTGTCAACTCAGGCTCCTCTGAGATTCACCATCCAGTGAGGTTATGTGGACCCTGTGGGATGCTTGCTTGGTACAGCTGCTGTGGGTCAGAGGGCGGGGGAGGACCCCAGAGCTCCTGGGGCAGTTTGATGGGGTTGGCCAGAAGTGGCAATTGAGCTGAAACTGTATCCTTTGCTCCAATAGGCTCTATTAGCTGCTGGTGACTTTTGATCTCCTACTTCTGGGGAGGGGGCAGAGTCGAATTGACAACCCTCTAGTTAAAAGAAATGCCTTTGCATTATTGATTCTCCCCAGGACCTGGTCACTCTGTTCCCCTCCTGCAGTGCTCCTCACACAAGCGCCTGGAGCTGTTTGACAGAAGGGGCCTGTATGAATTATTCCTTAAAAAAAGAAACGTTGCTTGCCTCTCCTGCCTCTGCTTTCAAAAGCTGGCTTAGCAGGAGGCCACCCTGCCTATCTTCAAAAGCTAACTTAGGGGGCTACACAGGGCTGAGGTGAGAGGCAGGAATTGCAGGACGACAGCAGGAGGCACCGGCCAGGAGGAGGGGCCCTCATTTGTAGCTGGGAGTGGCTTCTCTGGTTTGGATTTCTTATTTCTAAAATCAGAATAATGTTCTCTCTTCCTGCTGCCTTCATGGGGCTGTGCTAAAGCATTATCAGGCAATCATCTTCATTTCTCCTTGCTGGTCTCGTATGAAGCTAACTCCCCAAGTCTGAAGGATGTGAAGAGCCAGTGGTCACCTCAGCCACACAGTTTTTTCCATTTCTTACAAAACTGCTGGAAACCCTTCTGAGATTCCCCATCCTCTCCCTTCACGTCTCTTGCCGACTCGTATGAAAGCTCTTATTTTTAAGTCATCAACGCTTGAGGGAGAAATATTTTCTCAGGGGTCTTTGTTTGAGGACTTTGTTGTCAGAGGGGAAAGAAGATAGAGGGAAGGAAGAGACCCCCAAAAGAGGGCAGGATGCAGAAGAGAAGTGGGCCTGAAAACAACAGGATTTCCCCAGGGGCTGGCTTTGTTCTTGGGGTTCACTCTGCTTACATGGATGGCAAGCACTCAGCAGGACCTGGATGACTCTTTGGAACCATCAGGCTGGGGCAGGCAGGCTGGGGCATGTGTGGTTCATTTTCTGGCCTGTGACCTTGGGAAGAATTCTTAACTTTTCAGAAACCTCATTTGCAAAGCAAAGGTAGTAAGAATTATTTTCCAAAATGCTTCTGTTCTAGCAGAGACATCAGGGCAGGAGGAAACAAAATGCTTTCCAGCCCCCACCCCAACATCCTACTTTGACCGGTTACCATAGGGAAAAGGGTTTATTTAAGAGATGATGTGGACGAAAAGTGGAGGCTGGAGATGATCAAAGCGACCTTCTGTTTCTCTTCTCACAAATGTGGATGACACTCTTGGCTTTTATGGGAGGTGTGGTTCAAGATGGAGGTCACACTAGGGGCCCCACAGGGACAGATCATTATTTCTACACTGGTGGTACCTGCTGGGATGGTTGGTGTCCCAGGGAACAGTAGAAGAAGCAAGTGGCTCATGGCTCCCTCATTCTCTGAGCAGGCTCTGCCCTGCCGAAACCCTGAGTCTTTCCCTGTCCTCCCTCACATGTCACCTGTGACATAATGAGGTCTCTGTTCATTGGCTTGTTTCTTCCTAAGAGCCAATCAGAGAGAGGAGATCTAATACTCACCCACTCGGTGCCCTAGATTGTAATAATAATAGCTGACACACGTAGCTCTGAGGTGAGATATTTTAAAACCTGGCAACTATTAAACTCTCTGAGTCCTGTTTAATGATGACTTTGGGGCCCAGCCTTGGCCTTCTATGGCCCACACAAGGAGGATAAGACTGACCGTGCTGCAGCCTTCTCTTCTATCCCTGCCACACTCTGGCATTTGAGGGGCTGGTGCAGGCTCTGCCTTATTGTCATCCTCACCCAGCTGCCCCTCAGTGCCCAGCACGGAAAATTGCAGGCAGGTGTGTAAAGGATTCTGCGCAAAAGCCAGGTTACTCAGATTTCTCCATGTCAGTCTCTAAAATTTGGCTTGAACTGTGAGAGGAAAAAACCAAAAACCAAACCAAACCCAAAAGCAAGACAAAACATAGGCTGACTCTGGAAACCTTGTCTGTCTTCCCATGTCTTGCAGTGCTTTCCCAAACTCCTGTTCGGCACTTGGAAGAAAAATTGCAGCTATGTACAGCAGCTTTACTAGCAAATCACTAAAAGAACACATTTTCCCTCCTCTGATGAACATGCTGATTTATTTTAATTTCTGTAAGTATGCACCTTCCGTGAATTTTCCTACCTAATGTTTTTTTCCAAATGAAGAACTTCTTGCATGTAAAGCTGATGTAATGAAAAAGGCTTCTCAGCTATAACATAGTGGCTCGGTTTGTCTGAATCTCTGGATCTTAGCACGAATCCTTCTGAACTGTCCAGAAAAGGCAAAGGTCACATGCCCTTGTCACGGAGTTTCAATTTAGGAGCTCAGGCTTGAGCTTGATTTGGGTAGCTGACGCTCACCGTATTCTCTGCTTTTCTCCTTCCTCTCCTTCCTGCATTACCTAAAGAAAGAGGAGGAGGAGAAAGAGGACGAGGAGAGGCAGAATCTATATTTCAGTGTTTTTTGTTTTGTAACCTGAGACACCCAGGGTGTCCCCCAGGGTGTGTGTGTTGACTGGGGACATTTCTTGTCTCCTGCTTAACCTGTAGGTTTCACTTAGGTAGCAGATTATCCATTGTTTTCTTCTGGGCCCTTTTCTGTCTTGAAGGAAGTGGTTTCCTCTGGTTTTTGCTTGACACAGGGATAAGATTCAAATAAACTCTTATGCTATACATATGTGTTAGGGCTACCACACTGGTGCTATTTTAAGATTTAGCTTTTAGTTTTAGTGCAACTCTTCTGCAGGCTGGTCTGAGTGGATAAAATGCTGATGGTTTAGTGCCTTGAAATTACGAAACCTGTTCACCTACAGGGATGAATTCTTCTTGATTATGATGAAATGGCATGGAATTTGATTCTGAGGGTTGACAATGGTTTCTACTTCCCAGACAAAGCCCCACTTCTTATGGATTTAAAGAAACCAGAGGTAAAGATCCCTCACACAGTGAACTTCTACATCAAGCCCGAACCTGGAGTGGTGCTGGGAGTCTGGTGAGTGCTGTGATTGGACACAGGCTTGCACAGCAGAAAGGCAGAGGGGAGCCAGGCTGTGTCACCTCCCGGTGCTAAGGTTGGGGCTCCTGAGGGCACCTGGGAATCACTGGTGAACTCGGACCTGCTTGATTTTGCTTTGCAGGAATTTTGCTTTGAAATGTGAAATCTTTTGGGTGTTCTCCTTGACTTCTGACCCTGCCCACTTGTCCAGCCTTGTTGCACACCTCCCTCACCACTGTCCCTCTGCTCCAGACACACTGGCCCCCGGCACCCCAAACAATGGCCCCTGGAGTGTGCTCTGTTCTGTGCATTTTCTCCGTTGTCTATCTGCTCCTGCTCTTTTTGGATCTCGCTTTAGCTGGCGCTTTTTAGGGGTCCCCACTCCCCATGTTGGGTGAGGTTTTTTTGCACCATCCGTGCTTGTCTCTCAGGACCTACCTTCCTCTTGAAATGACTTCACTGTGGGCATGCTTATTTGCTTAATGTCTGTCTTCCTTACCAGGCCATGGCTTTTATGGTGGCAGGACTTTCACCTTTGAACTTTGAATCACTGAGTGCTTGAGAGCCAATACAGCCGCACGTAGCTTCCTAGCAATCTGCAGATGACACTTCAGCTAATGGTGATGGAATTTGCTTTTTACTCCTGTCTCTTGGGGTTTGGTGGGCAGCTGTGCTCATCATGACCTGCTCATCTGTGGAGTGGTGCCTATTTCTCAGTGCAGAGGCTCTGGGGACAGTGGCAGATTCTCTGTCCTTTGATGATTCCAAGGACTGAAGACTTGTCACCTCTTGGCTAGTTTTGCAAGTCCTCAGTGACACAGCATATGGCGGCATTTATGTTTTCAGGGTTCATTTGTGGTTATAATGAGATGGAGTAACCGGGGCTCTCTGGTGTTTAAAGTCACAAGGTCACTTGATTTTTTGAGTAGACTCGCTTAGCTCCAAGATAGAGTTCTTTTCTCCTACACAAGCTAGTTTCCTTTTGAATTCCTTTCAACTTGTCTTTTCAGCCAAACCAATGGCAGATGGTGTATTAGTCAGCTTTCTGTTGCTAGAGCAAAATACCTGACGTACACAATCTAAAAGAGAAAAAGGTTTGTTTTGGCTCATGGTGTCAGGTCCTGGTTGACCAGCTCTGGGGCAGAAATGAAATGACAGAATGGTGACAGAGGAAAGCCGCTCAGCTCCAGGGCATCAGGAAGCAGAGAGCAGGGCAAGAACAGAGAGAGGAGGGGCTGAGGACAGGATGTGCCCCTGTAAGGCATGTCCCCAGCGATCCACCTCCTGCAGCCCGGCGCTGTCTCTAACAGCACACACAGCTCCGAACTCATCAACAGATGAATCCACGGATGAGTTTAGTGTCCTTGTGATCCAGTCACCTTCCAAAACCCTCTGGACACCTGAACCTCTGGGGGACACTTTTGATCCAAATCATAACAGATGGCAACAATCTATTCACTTTTATTTCTTTCCACTTTTTTATTTTTTGGTCATTTCAATGGCTTGGACCTAAAAGTTGTAGTTTTGGAAGCTTATTGGGTCCAAAAGTCAGGCGAACTAACACACTAAATAGTTACAAGGAAGTCTTTGTGCATTGGGTGGTCGATCAGGGCAGCTGTAGTTTTTCTTAAAGGATAATTTGTTGCATAAGATTTTATTTTTACCTTGTGCATATATGACTCAGATAAATCTTTGGAAGTCTGTATATATGAACATAAGGAGGACTCAGACTCTGGCGAGACGGAGACCTCCTGTCTGTGCATCTGTGTATGGAGCTTCTGCTTCGCCCTGCAGGCACACGGTCCCCAGCTGCCGGGGGGAAGAAGCCCAAGGGAAGAATCGGTGCTGGTACGAGGCAGCCCTTCAGGATGGAAACCCGATCGTCGTGTATCTTCATGGAAGTGCACAACACAGGTCAGTGCCTCTGTTTGGATTTTTAAAGAGATTAAGAGCATTTTAGCACTGTGGGACAGCAAAGGAGAGTGAAGGCAGGGCTGAGCTTTCAGCTCTGTTGGCAGACTTCACAGGTTCCTTTTCCTTTGTTGAAATCCAAGGGTGCTCTAGAAAAAGCCTTCTCTTGAAAAGATTATCCTATAGATTTAGCGAGAAAAGAATAATTCTTCTAAAATCTCTATAATCATTTCAGAGAAGGCAGTGGTTTCTTTACTTCCTGAGGATAAAATGGTGGGCCGAACTAGTTATCAGAATCAAAATAGACTTGCTTTTATCAAAGCCCTAATCCAGAATGAAGGCAAGCAATCCATGAAGTGTTGACAGAGGGGACCTCATGCATTTATGCTGCGTAACAACCATTCCCAAGGACTCCACCAGAACCACAGCCTTTGCACACAGGCCACTGCAATTTGACACAAAAAATATGTGTGCAAGGACACGTACACACAAGGTTGTCTGTTCCACTGCAGACTGCTGCCATCCCTTTGACTAATCCATGAAGTCAAGGATTAGTATTTTAAAATGCTTACATAGTTCTCATTTTGCCTTAAAAATTTCCCTTTGCCTCAGCCTCTTTGAATATGGCTGTAGCACACGATGGTACAGGTGGTCCCAAATATTCCGAACGCCTTTTGGAGACTCTTAATTATTTTGGTTGACAGAGCCACATTTGACTGCAAAGGGATAGACATGCATTCTGGGGAAAAAGAAAAATAATTTTTTTAGAAGATTGCAATGGAGAGTGCTTTATTTTGCATTAACTCTGATAATAAAAAAAATACGATTCAATATGGTAACCATTGTTGATTTCCTACTGCCTTGTTTTGAAATCCTATGTTACTTACACTGTCTTGTTTTGATTTTCTTCTGTTTTATTTGCTTGATTTTATTCTCCCTAAAATAAAATTTTTTTAAAAAACCAAAGACACAAAAAAACGACTCCTAAGAGAATCACCTGAAATTCTGACCACAGGTGCAGGGAGCATCTGATAAATTGTAGTTTAGAATATTTGGCTGTGGTGTCACTTGGTTTGCAGTGAACACAGTCTCCCAGAGGCCTAGCTGCCTTTGATGTGCTGGCAGAGTCTGTGTAATTACCCTGGGTGATGAGTATTGCCCATGACTGCTCCACCTCAGTGCAGGGGAAGGCCAGTATGGTTCAGAAAGCCCCTGGCATTGCTCTGCCTCTGGAAGGACACCCTTCAAATTCAGGGCCAAGCTCTGGAATTGACCTTTTGCTTCCTTGATGTGTTCATTGTAGAATCATATTTCCTAGGTTCGTCTGTGAACTGACAATTTTCTCATCGTGTAAACTTGGATCTGGTGTTACGTTGAGTACCATGTGGACATATGGCCACATCTGTACCTCTGTATAAATCGGAGATGGTTCTCAGTTGTCCCAGATTTGCTCTGGGCTTAGCCCCAGCTTCCTTTTGTCCTCTGCAAGGAAGACTCAGCTTGTAGTCAGCAGTATTGAGCTGAAAGTACTGGGTACCAAGCACTACAGTGGTCTTGCTAATGCCCCAGAATTGGTGGTTCTGGACTTGGGATCCATGGAAACCACAAAGGATCCTTGAACCCTGTGCCTCAAATTGTATATAACATTTAAAGTGTGGGTGTATTTTTCCCCCTGGGAAATGAATTTTAAGCTTTTACCAGATTTCATTGCTAGTATTTAAGAAACTTGACTCTAAGGCAAACTTCAAATGATTTTTAATGAAAAGTCTTTCGCATCACTTTCTTTTGTTAATGTAGGAAGAGCTAATGTGATCAGTTTTGGAAAAAATGTTTTTGTACTTTCAGGGTGATGACTCTCTCTCCTTCACTTCCCCTTGCCCTGGATGATAATGAGGATGGGATACAGACAAATTTAAACTTAGTGCAACTGGACTGCACCATCTTTTTATTCTGAAAAAGCTACTTTCTGGCACTTATTTTCTCTTTAGCTTCTAAAAGTATTCCCAGAGATAAGTTTTACTGCAGGAAGGGAAAGGAGATGGGTTGTGAGGAGACCATCAGGAGCTCAAGAGAGATCTGAGTATCTGGTACTCACGGACCCTTGAATATACTGCAGCCCTGGCGAGCAGTGGATCATCTGCATGTGAGCTGACTCTGTCTCCCAGAAACAGCTCCCTTTCTCCAGTTATTTATTTCTCTTACTTAAACAACAAAGGTGGAGATGGGATGTGAGTTGCATAAGAGTGAAGCTGTCATTATAGTTCCTAATTCTTGCTTTTTCCTTTAACATCATGTACAGGGGCGCGCCTCACAGGTGTGAGCTGATGAAGGTAGGTTTGCATGGGCTGCAGAGCACCCAGTTCTTAAGTCCTCGTTGATTCTGGCCTTCTATGTCCTGAGCTCTTCCCAGGTCCTCAGCATGGTGATGTCCCTATAGGTCCTAGTCAAGGAAGGTGGTGGTATGGAGGACCAGCGTCTCACGTGTGGACTTCTCCTCTGATGTTGGCCATGGGGAATCCAGACAGATGTGGCCAAAGCCTTTCATGAACCTATTCTCTTCATCTCTGGAAGTTGAAAACACTTTGAATTGTGGGCTGGAAGATATATTGAGGGGGTATATTAAGGGGGAGATTATCACTTCTTTTATCAGAAGTTGCTTTGTTAGTGGTACAGAATAAAGGCAAAGAATGTCTGCTTTTCAAAGTCAAGCTATGGCTTCCACATGTGTGAGGCTCTGTGGAGCAGCCGGGTGGCCATGTGGGTTCTCCTTCCTCACCCCTGCGTGGTCCCAGTTTGCTGGGATAGTCCTTACATTGCTGAGTGGGAGGAAGGGGGCGGCTGGCTCTCTGGCTCTCTGGGTTTCAGAACTGGTCCAGCAGGCTGCCTGTCACTTAGTTGCCACACTCCAGTTAGGTCACCCAGATGGCTTTTCCATTACAGACCCCAGAATTGCTGTCCTCCCACATGGTGCCCTGCCTGACAACATAACAACATCCCTGGGTCTACAGAGCTGTCTCAGTTATCTCCAGCACCACGTGTGAGGGAAGCTCCGGTCCTGTCGCCTCCCTCCTCCCAGTCACTTTCCGCTCCTGGCCTAGCAGTGGTGGCTGGAGTTACCTGGAGAGCAGGATGTCCCCTTAGTTCTACATTTGCTTTGCACCCACTCTTGGCTCTTTGCTCTGCCCACTCGGGGTGTGGAGAAACCGATGTCCAAGGCCTGTGCACCCTTCCCCTACCTCAAACCTGAACTGCACATCCTCCAGGAAGCAGGCTCGTAGGCGTCAACAGCAGCCAGCTCATCCCTGCGGCAGTAGGATGGGAAGGAAGGACGGTGGCTAGTGTGGCGGGACTGTCCCCAGGTACATTCCGGTGATCAAGAGCTGTGTCATCCCTGCCCAGCAGGAGAAGCTTCCTGGGCCCTTCCTTTCCTCCTCTGGATAGGTGACTTCCTTTAAAAATAAATCCTTTAAAACTCTATTTCCTCTCTTCCTTTTCCCTTCCTTCCCTCTTCTCCTTTCTTCTTCTATTTTCCTTCTGCTCTTTCAATCACTGCATACAGCTGTTTTCATGTATGACACTCTTCCCTGATCTTTGTCTCATTCTGTAAGGTTTTTGTCACTGTGACTGTATCTTGTATACAATTTTATGCTGTGTGCTTTTACTTAATACTATTTCATGGACCTTCTTCTGCATTTTTACAGAGTCTTCAGAACTAAAGGGCTTGTCATTCTCCATTTTATTTATAAATTGTTTTTGCCTGACAATGCCACTGATTTGGAATAAAATTGTTTTTTCCTGACTTCACTCCAAATAGTTGCTGCAGAAAACTAAGCTTCTAGTTTTCCTTTTCCCTTCTTCTTCCTGTCTCTCCTAGTGGCACAGACTCGGGATTCCTTGTGCCTCTTGAGCTGTGTTGTCCTCCAAGGGTCCTCCAACAAAAGGCTCAGACAGCACATGGATATCCCCATTTCCGGGGTGTGAGCTGCCAGACTTTGAGTGGAACTGAGTTTGGATTGATGTTTAAGAGATTCCCTCAGTTGGTCATCATCAGCTCCATTTGTATGTGCAAGTGCCGCCCTCCCTGCTAGGGTGCCGGAGCAGAGGGAGATCCAGGTGTGGCTCTTTGTTTTGTTGGTAACCAACTGGCTGACTCTGGATAAGTTACTGAAATTCTCCAATGCTTTATTTTACTTATTTTGTGATTTATTTTTGTGGTACTAAGAGACCAAAAAAAAAAAAAAAAAAAAAAAAAACAGAAGAAGGACAACATTTTACTGTTCAGGCCCCCTAAAAACTGTATTTACCCCTCAAAACAGATTGATAAGGTAAACATTATCTCCATTGTAAATTTAAAAATTTTTAAAGTGCCCATGTGGTGGAGTCTTATTTCATGTTCATATTTTTTCTCTTTATCTATGATTGTATTTTTTTCCTTTATAAATTTAATGTATGGACATTATTTGATACCTATGCTGTCCCATTAGAGACATTGCTATTATTGTGATAAAGTCAATTATTTATAATACAATGGACGGTGTTAAAATAGTGGGTCACACAGGGGGAAAACAGTGCCTCTGTTATGTTCCTATGTAATTTGTGCAGTGCTGTGCATAGATGACTCTTCGTAAATTTTTTCCAATTTTTTTTTATTTAAAGAAAGAAAAAATTTAAACAAAATAGAAAAAAGTAGAATAATATAGAATTCAAAGAAAATGAACGTCATAAAATCTCTAGTTGATACATTACATATTCTCTTCTTAAAATGTATGACTATATTTCATTTCATGTAAAGTTACGCTTCCATATTCTTCCCTCCTCTGCCTACGGGGAGCTTGAGAGTGGTTTCTTACGTCAGAGCACACTGTGTATTTCTGAGCACAGGTTTGCAGTACATAGTGCTCACCTCCTTGGGAGGAGTTGGTGCAGGTACATAATGCATCTTCCTTTCTTTTTCATCCTCTTTCCTTCTCTTCCTGCCCTCCCTCCATCTTATTCCTCTTCTCATTTGAGAAGGATCTATCTCCCTACTTCTTATTGTCTAGCTTTATTTATTTTCGTCTCTGTCAGACAGGGTCTCACTATGCAGGTCAGGCTGGCCTCGAGCTCATGTTGTAGCCCAGGCTGGTTTTGAACCCACAACAATTCTCCTGCCTCAGGCTCTTGAGTGCTAGGATTACCAGCATGTGCCACCATGACCGGTTTATCTAACTTTTATTTTGCTCTTTATTTAAAATAGTTTGGCTTCTCATACAAGAGAAATTATGCAGTATTTAAAGTTTTGTGTCATAGGTGTTATAGGTCCATCAACAGATGACTGAGTAAAGAAAGTGTGGAATCTACACACAGACTATTACTGTGCTATAAAAGGAGGATACATTTGAGTCATTTGTAGGAAAATAGATGTGCCTTGTGATTATGATATTAAGCATATTATGCATTATGATATGAATAATTCTTTATCTTTGATTGAACTCAGCTCTTTACCTGATCATAGGTAATATAAATATCTTCCCATTGTTTGATCGCCTCTACTACAGCTCTGCAGAATTTTCTCCTTCCCTCTGTATCTCCCTCCCTCCCTCTCCCTTCTTCTCTTTTCAGTGCTAGGGATCAGATCCTGGGTCCTCACATCTACTGGGCAGGGGTTGTCACTGAGCCCCAGCCCCAGCTCAGGAATTCTTAAGAAAGACATTTTTGTGTAATCCTTCCAGTAACCTGGGAGGTGAGCATGTTCTCACTTCTCAGGATAACAGTTTACACCTCAGTGTGAAATGATGTGGCTGAGGCTGCAGGGTGGTAAGAGCAGGGCTCAGGTGTGACCCAGGGGTCTGCTCAGCTGTGACCCAGCTGTCTGCTTCCTGCTCGCCCTGGCTGGGTGACACTATCCCCTTTGAGTCTGATCTCAAGTGTGAGGCCAAACACCAGATTTCAAAAACACATTTTCCCCACCTATTAAACAATCACAGCCAGGGACATGGATGTGTGGAGGAGACTTTTTGTTTCTGTCTTGTAATCATTTGAAGTGAAAACAGCTCCTTTGTTATCCAGGTGCTGAGTGAAGGTGGCTTTCATGTCCTGTCTATTGACTACAGAGGTAGGTGTCAAGAACAGTGTGTGTGAGCCCGACAGTGTGTGGAGGGTTTTTGGTACTCAGAAAGCTTCTGATGGCCCTGAAATAAGTGATATTGTGATGTTTTTTCTTCCCACCAGGGTTTGGCGACTCTACAGGGACACCCACAGAGCAAGGGCTGGCTTTGGATGCTATTTGTGCCTATGAGTGGGCCAAAGCGAGAAGCGGTCACACCCCTGTGTGTTTGTGGGGCCACTCTCTGGGCACAGGGTAAGTGTGAGCTGAAGATGAGTCCCACGGAGGGTCAAGGGTCGGAGGGTCGAGGGTCGCTGGGGCTTTAGTGTCCCTCCCATCCAAGGCAGCAGGGAGCAGTGGAAGGCACCATGCTAGGAGACAGGGACTCCCCTCTCAAAGTGGCCAGAGACCCTCCCATCCTTGTGACTCTGAAGTCCATCCTGGAACTCTCAAGAATTTTGTTTTTCAAGACACAGTATTACTAAGTCACTAAATCTGGGCTTGAACTGGTGATTCTCCTGCCTCAGCCACCCAGAGTGCAGAGATTAAAGGCTTTCCTTGAGACTTTTAAGACAAGGTCTTTAATTTAAATTCTCTGGAACCTCTCACATTGTTGTGCACGGCTCCATGCATGTGGGTTTTCTAACCGGAGAGCCTCTTCTTAGATGCCGCATTTTGTAATATTTACTTGACTGGTAAGTTCACCTGCTTGACATAAGCATCACCTGTGTGCAAACTGTCATTGTTTTACAGAGTCGCATTAGATGCTGCCCGACTCCTGGAAGAGAGAGGTAATAAACGCTTACCTGCTACAATTTCTTGAGCTGGGAATATAAAAACAGTAGGGGACTGTCTGTATGCTTGGAAGGCACGGGCACCTGAAGCATGTCACTTTTGGATAGTTTCTAGCAGAGTGACAGACTTCCTTTATTTTCTTTCATTTAATATAAAATGATGGCTGCTTATCCAGGCTCTGAAATTAGTATTCCAAAGAGTCCTTCTTGTGAGATTACAGAATTAATTTGCATTAAGGGACAGGAAAATAATACATTATGAAATGATAGGCCAGACTTGCTTTCTGTACAATATTATATAATATTCATGCCAGCATTTCTCAGAGTGACCTAAATATAGCTTGCATTGGAATCTGTTTAATGTGCTTATTTAAATTGCATGTTTCTTGGATACCAGACGATGAAGAGGTTAGAATCTCTGTGAATAGGGCCAGGTCATGTCTTTTTCAAGATCTAAAATTAGAATTTACTCTCTATATAAAGATGTTAGATAAATAAAAAAAATTTTTTTACCCTAATACTAGCCAATTTAAAAATTCCAAAGTCCAGGATCTGCTTTAAAAATCTTTTTTCTTCTTTATTTTGCTGTTTGTTTTTTCCTTTTTCTGGTGGCACTGGGGATTGAGCCAGGGCTCTGTGCACACTAGGCAACCATCAGGTTACACCTTCGGCCCCTTTTGCTTTAATTTTGTATGTCTAGTTATTTTCATGTAAGTGCTAGCAAATGTTCATAGAAAATAACAGATGACTTAAAACTTCTTCTGGAAATAATTTACTTTTGTCCTGAAAGGTAGGGATAGACTACTTCAGTCTAAGCAGAGATTGAGTTGACTTGAAACTGGGCTTCAGATGTTTTAACTGGCTCATTTCTAGCACACTGTGAATTAATGTGTAGTCCTTTGACATCACAGCTAAGAGGCTGAGAGGTGTTCTAGGATCCTCCCATTTGCCAGATCATGAGCTTTAATTTCTGTCCTTTTGGTTCTGAGAATACTAAAAGATTCTACCTGTTTCTTCCCCTCTGCTTCCCTCCCCTCTCCTCTCTTTCTCTCCCTCTCCTCCCCTCTCCTCTTCTCTCCTTTCTTCTCCTCCTCCCTCCTTCCTCCACCCCTGGGTTTCCTTTGTTGTGGTAACAGGGTTAGACCTAGGGCCTGTGCACTGAGCGATGCTCCCAGCCCTTTTTATGTTTATTTTGAGACTGGATCTGAATTACCTAAAATGAGCTCAAATTTGCCTCAGCCTCTCACTGTATTGGGATTACTTACAGGCACGCACCCCCACACTCCACTGCTGTTTAGCTTTCAATCCTGTCATCCACTACTGCTGCTTTCAGTTTAACTGTTTTGGGGGAAAATGCAGCTGAAACTCTGGGCTTTTAGTTACTAATAGCTTGCATTTTTGCTATTATTTTCAAGGATGCCCAGTGGATGCCATTGTGTTGGAAGCTCCATTTTCCAACATTTGGGTTGCGACTATCAACTATCCCTTACTGCAGGTGAGTCTCTGGCTCTTCAAAGCAAGAACCAGAAATGGCTGCAAATCCATTTATCTACCTTTGTATCTATTAGCTAAGTCACTCTAACTTGTGTCAAAATTTATTAACCAGTTAAGAGGAAAGGGGCCATGATGGCTTCTGGATTTTCTTTTAACACATTAAATGGCTTCTAAAGAACAAGCAAAAGCCTTTCCCTACTGTTTTGTTTTCTCACTAATTGCAGGTCTGATCTTTTATAATTTTTAGAATTATCTTAGGCTTATTGTTGTTATCATATTTAAAGTGAAAATTAATCTCCATGCATCATTTTTAGCCCCATGAATGTCAGCCATATATGTTTCATGATTTTATCACAAGAAAATTTCTAGGAATTCAGGGAAGCTGCCTAATGCATCACACAGTGTTCCACACAGAGAGCACACACTTCCCAAGAAAACAAAGTACAAAGACTTGAGTCATAGGTGAGGTTTTAAAAATCTGATGTGTATCATTAATTTTATAGTTTTGTCCCACATAAATGGTAGGTGTGCGTGCGTGTGTGTGTGTGTGTGTGTGTGTGTGTGTGTGTGTGAGAAAGAGAGAGAGAGAGAGAGAGAAGGCATGGAGGGCTGGGCGCTTTAGAGGCACAGGGACTCAATTTTAAAATTGTTACTTGATACTGCAAAGGATTGTGGAGGTGTTTTAACCTGTCTACTTTCTGAATTTCTGTATAGTAGGCTAGCATCGAACTTTCTTTTTCTTTTTCTTCTTCTTCTTCTTCTTTTTTTTTTTTTTTTGGTACCTGAAATTGAACTCAGGGCCTTGCAATTGACAGGCAGGTGCTGTACCACTGAGCTATATTCCTGGCTTAGAACTTTCTGAAATTAACAATTTCCTGAAGGAAGGTAGCTCACTCCTTTTTGAGGTAGCCAGTACACAGAATCACATAATCTTGAAAATGCCATTATTACTTAAACCTTGGTATAATACAAGAATCTCCTCTATAGTTGAAAATATCTAAGTTACTCAATTGAACATTGAATAGTTTAAGATGTAATAAACACATTTTGAATTGCCTTTAGGCAATTGAATATTTTTTCTATAATTGTTAATTGAACATCTATTACATTTAATTAATAACAAAAATCATTAAATTTCAGGTATGTAAAAGAATTCAATATTTTGCAGTTAGTTTTTTAAAATGTTAATTTTGAAATTCAGCAAAATATAAAAATATAATTTAATGAATCTTTATAAACTGAATACCCATGTAATTGTCACTTAAGTCATGAAATTAGTGATGCTAGCACCCAAGAAGTCTTCTGTGTTTCATTTCTGAGTCTTCTAAGCCCCATTTGATGTAATTCTTGATGCTCAAATGTAATCTTTAGATTTTATGATGCTCCTATTAGTGTGGTTTTTTTACTTTAAAAACAAAATAGCAACAATAAAAAAGAATAAAAACGATGATACAGAGTTTCAGAACAAAATAATAGGAAATCAGCACTAGTTAATTATACTGCGTATTGTTAATTTCAAAATAGTTGTTCAGATTATAAGATCAACAAGTTGCTTTGTAGTGTGATAACCTACAGGTGGATTTCTAAATATAGTTTTGTCTGTTTTTGAACTTTATGTGCACATATAATTATAGGTTGTATTCTATTTTTAATCCTAACCCTTATTTTTAGGATTTTATTGTGGAGAGCTCTAGTTGGGCCATTTTCGTAACTCTATGGAATTTATTTCATCACATGATCATACCACAATTAATTGATCTATTCTGATGTTTATGGATACTTGGATTCCTTTCAGTTTGGGGCAACTAATAATTTTGTTGTTGTGAATATTGTTAAATCTATGTTCTACAAACATGGGCAAAAATGCCAGTGGATTGTGCCCTAGGAGTGGACCAGTTGAGGTATAAAGTATGCATCTTGTTGAGCCCTGGTAGGCACCCAAGTGATTTTCCAAAGCAACCTTCCCACCTTGCTCTTCCAACCAAGGATGAGGATTCCAGTTGCATCACATCCCTGTCCTCATATAATTGATCTCTTATGAAATTCCTGTTCATGTCTTTATCAATTTGGATATAAGTCATCAGGAAAGTATTTGTATTGCATCTACAGCCCAGTATTTTGTTTTGACTTTTTGCTTTTTTTAATGGTATTATCAGGACAAAGAAACTCTTCCTAAATATAACATGCAACAGTTTATTAATGTATGTCTTTATAGTGAATAATTCTGTGTCTTATATTTTAAAAAAAACTACTTAACTCAGATATCAGGGAGATACTTTTCTATATTATCTTCTAGAAACTTTTACTTTTTATAGGTTTGGATGTTTGTATGGCAGTAGAGATTCGGTTGGTCCAGCATTGGACACACACACACTCTCTCTCTCACACACACACACTCACACACCCTCCTGCTGATAGATTCTCGTTTCTGTCCATTATCCACCTGTGCATCCTTATATGAATGCCAACATCTCTTAACTACTATAGCTTTATAATAGGGCTTGATAATGATTGTATAAGTTTTCCAACTTTGTTCTTACTCAAGGGTGCCGTGGCTATTATTTTTTTTTATCTTCCACTTTTTATTTATTTATTTTTTGAGAGAGGATCTTGCTCTGTAGTCCAGGCTGGTCTTGAACTCACTATGTAGGGCAGGCTGGCCTTGAACTCATGGTGACCCTCCTACCTCAGCCTGCTGAGTGCTGGGGTTACGGGTGTGCACCATCATGCCCGGCCTCCGTGGTTATTCTTGATCCTTTACATTTTCACATACTGTTTGAATGATCTTGCCAATATTGCTATGACTTGGGAATCGCACTTGGGATCTGTACATCGATTTGGGGGAATTGGCACCTTTCTAATATTGAGCCTTATAATCCATGAACACTGTGTTACCATTTAGTTTTGTTTATGCTTGTGTGTTTATTACTTACGGTTTCTCTAGTTTCAGCTTCAGGTTGAATTCATCTGAATGCAAAGCCCAAGGCAGGGATGTGATTACTGAGGAGAAATGTGGGAAGGAAAGACCTGCTGAGGAACCAAGCTAGTAGCCTTGGGACGGAAAAAGCAGGACACACCTACTATCCAGGTGGGCTGTGGACTCTGAAAGGGCTTTTATTCCTGCTAGAGTAGAGGAGAGGGGTGGGGCAGGAGGCTGGTGTAAGCTTCCAGGAAGAGTGGCTTCTGTCCGCCAGTGTTGTCAAGGAGAGAAGTGCTGTGAGCGTTTAGCAGCCAACACTCACAGCAGGAACTAACTTTAATAGACTTTTCAAATAGCCAACTTTGTGTTTTCCATCTTTTTTTGGTCTTTTTTTGAGATGGGGTCTCACTGTGTAGACTGGCCTTGAGCTCACTTTGTAGCCCATGCTGGTCTCAAACTTGCAGTGTCCTCTGGCCTCCAGCCTCTCAAGTGCTGGGATGACAGCATGCACCACCACGCTTGGCTTGTGTTTTCCATCTTTACTGTATGCTATTTTACTAATTTTTAAATTTGCTTTTATTATTACCTTTCCATCACCTTAAGATCGAGGATATTATTCCCTTCCTTTTATTTTTTCTTTCATTCATTCCTTGACAGTTTTCTGAGATGGTACTTATTATCTAATAATTTATAGTCAGTGTTTTTCCATTTATAATATATATGTGAGAATATATTCTACCTAAACCACATTGCTGCTGCATCCCATAAGTTTTGAAATGTTGTTTTGGCATCAAAATATCAATATATTTTGTAATATTATTGATTTCTTTTTTGACTACATGGACCATTTAGAAATGCCTCGAAACTCCTGTACATTTGGAGGTTTTATTATATTTGTTATTGATTTCTACCTTAATTCTACTGTGATCCAAAAATATACATTATATTATTTCGATCTTTTGACATTTGTTGAAATGTGTGCTATGTCCCAACATATGGTAATTCTGGTGAATTTGCCACATGCTTAAAAAGAACATATTCACTGTTTGTGATGTTCTGTTTATGTCAAATGGATCAGGGTTATTAATCGTGCTGTTCAGTTCTTCTGCATCTATATTGATTTTTGTACTGCTTGTTTTCCAAGTTTTCCCAGAAGAATACTGCTATGACTGTGGAGCTGTTTCCATTTTAGTCCTGCTAGGTTTTGCTTTAGGTTTTTTGAGGTTAGATTATTAGGTACATGTACCCAGGAATATAGTAATGTAGGCTTTGACTCTTCCAAGTAAACCAGTGGTTTTATCCTGAAATATCTACTCTTCTCTTGCCATTGATAGTTTCTTGATTTAAATTCAGCATTACCCAGTGTTTAGTGTTTATTTTGATTACTGTTTATTGGTATTTTTTTTTTCTGTTCTTAGAATCCCAACCTTCTCAAACGTGTATATTTAATACATGCATCTCTTACCAGCATCATACTGTAGGGTCTTAATTTCTTTTTAAGAACATTAGATTTGTCTGTGAGCTGTAGTAGCCTATTTATATTTAATGTAATTATGATATAGTTGGGTTCAAATCTGCTTCCTTACCAGGCTCTGCTCTATTTGGGTCATCTGTTCTGGGTCCCTCTGCCTCTCCTTGCTTCCTTGTGGCTCCACAGCTGTGTCTCAAGGACAAAGGTGACACGGAGTGCCGGGCTCATCTCTCTGGTCTTCCCTTCTCTCTGGGATCTAGACTCTTCACTGCCTTGGTAGCTGTCTGACACCTTCAAGAGAGGGTTTTTTTCTTTATTTAAATATTTTGTCCAGTTTTGATAGTTGTTTTTGGCAAAAGATGTAGTCTGTAACAATACCTCTGTTATTAGAACAGGTAAATTTTGAGGGGACGGTGTCTCACTATATTGCCCAGGCTGGAGTGCAGTGGCTACTCACAGGCGCGATCCCACTACTGATCAGCACGGGAGTTTTGACCTGCTCTGTTTCCGACCTGGGCCGGTTCACCCCTCCTTAGGCAACCTGGTGGTCCCCCGCTCCCGGGAGGTCACCATATTGATGCCGAACTTAGTGCGGCATCCAATCGGTATAGCGCACTGCAGCCCAGAACTCCTGGACTCAAGCGATCCTCCCACCTCAGCCTCCCGAGTAGCTGGGACTACAGGCGCGCGCCACCACGCCCAGATAAAAATGCCATAGACTTTACAAATGTTTGCTGATTTATGATGAAGTTTTATGCTCCTAAACCTATTGTAGCCTGAAAATGTCCTAAGTCAACAAAGTTTTTGCCGTACCTGTGCTGCCAGCACCGTAGCTAGCAGGTGCAACACTGTAGCCTCCCAGTTCCTTCCCCTCTGTTGCTGCTCAGGACCACAGGCATATCGCTAGCCCAGGAAAATTCAAAATCCAAAATACTGAGTTTCTACTGAATGCATATCCCTCCCCTCTCATCATAGTCCAAAAATTGTAAGTCGAACCATCCTAAGTCAAGGGCTGTGTGTGGTTGAGGTTTTCGGTGATCTAGAAGCGTAACCATCCTTCAGGTTCTGCAGGTATTGCCATGCCATGGTGCCATGGTATTGCAGATTAAGAATCCTCCTCTGCTGTGTGCCCAAATTTGATTTCCAGGGTTGTAACTCCATAGCTGTGCAACTGTGGGCTAATAATGTTTAATGCTTTAATGGTCTCAGTTGTAATGAGTCAGCGCTCACTGCCTGCCTCCTCAAGCAAGGTGCCAGATTTGAGCATTACTGTTGGCTAAGAGAGTGTAAGCAGGGTGAGACAGATGCAGGGAGTACAAAGTCTGGGCCCTCAACCTCAGGAAGCTTTCTGACTCACTGGAGAGGAGAGGACATAAATAGGACCATAAAGCAGCAATGGGGATTTTGCCTTGGAATCTATTTTGTCACTCACAATGATGTGGGTAATGATCATGGTGATAGAGCCAGGCAAGTTTGAGTTCAAATCTGGCCTCTGCCACCAAGCCTGTAGGACTTTTTGTAAGTTGTTCACTTTCTCTGAGTTTCCCCATTCGTTTTTAATAATGGGGCTGATAATACCTAAAGCGCAGGGTAAGGTAATGTATGTAAGGTTTCCTGCTGCTCATAAGCACCCACCGAATGGTCCTTCCCATCTCCCACTTTTGCTGTTACAGGGCAGATTAATAACTAGCAGGGGAAGATCCAGAGGAGTAATTATAGGATAGAAGGAATTAAGAAAGGAGTCTTCATTCCTTGCATCTAGGTGTGGTTAGCAAAGATCTTCCGGAGAGATAGGATCTAAGCTCCTTTCCTGCAAGTAAGGAAAAACAGAGGAGGCAAGACCAGGCTGGGAAGGCAGCTGTAACTATAAAATACCCGCGAGTCAATGCAGGGCTTCCATGGATGCCTTTCACTCTTGTGACTCTGTCACATCCTGCCAGCATCTCAGTGTGGTGACACCACTGCTTCTAGTTACAGAGGAGGGAAATCGAGACTCAGAGGCTTATGGAATTGTTGCATGCCTTTGAGAAGAGAAAAGGCCATCTAACTCCAGACAGCAGCTGGAGGCAGCAGCCTCAGAATGGAACATGGTGGCCAGTTGTGGATGGGCTTCCTGTCAAGCTAGCAGTTGTCTTTAGTAGACAGTGTGGCATCCCCACAGCTTTATAGTAGCTAATTTTGCATGGCTGGCGTTTTAAGAACATGTATCTGGTGGCATCACCCAAGACAGAGGAAAGTAGGACAGCCAGTTAGGAGCTGGTTGCCATGGTCTGGGCCAGTGGGGGTGATGTGACCTTTCAGTCTCCAAGGGTGGCCCTGGCTGGTAGGGATGAGCAATCATGGACGGAGGGGACTTGAGTCTGCTTTCTTCTCCCTCCTTCAGAATTTGTGATTTATTGCTGAAGGGCTTCTCTTACTGAATTTTCTTCTGAGGAGTCCAATTCCAGGAGGGAGGAAATCAGAAGGCTATAAGCAAAGGAACAGACAGACAAAAAACACCAAGAAAATCTGGCCCTTAGCATGAAGAAGGGGGAATATACAATAAGAATATACAATAAGAAATATACAATAAGAATATGCAAAAAGAAAATATCCAGTAGCACCTCAGAAGCAATAAAATAATGTGATAGAGAGCAGCTGAGTGGTAGAAGCCAAGGGTTAACAGCTGCTTAGGAAAAAATAACCTACAGAAGTACTCCCCAGGCTGACCATAAGAAGCCTGCTGCATTGGCAAAATTCAGAGGTCTTAGGCCAAGAGAAAACAGGTGAGTGCCTTGCAGTGTGGGCAAACTTGGCATGTTCCAGCAGCAGAGACCATGAAGCCTGGAGCCCGAAGGTGGACAGGAAGGAGCTCAGTGACAGGGGAGGAGGCAGCCTCTAGAGTATGCAGAGCCTCCAAGGCCAAGTGCCTTCAGTCAAGGCTAAGCAAAAGTGTGAAGATGTGATTTGCAGGATAAAGCAGTCAACTGTGCTGGTTGGAAAGGGATTACAGAGGTCAGGGTAGAGACCTGCAGCCATTTGGGATTGTCAGCAGCTTCCAAACAGGGTGAAGGTGGCTTGGGAGAGTGGGGATGGGGAGAAGCATGTGGATGAGGGGTGCAGTGTGGAGGTGGATGTAGAGGTGTAAAGAAGGGGCTGAGGGCTCAGGGTTTCCATCTTTTACACCTCCTTTCAGTAGAAATGGGTTTTTTTAAGGGCACGTCAATGAGTTTACTTACAGGCTTACTCAAAATATCCAAAACTCAGATTTAGATAACCTTCTATTTACTGGAGTTGCCGTTATAGAAAAAATTCACGATGTGTAGATGTATTTGAGGTCCTGGGGTCAATGTCCAAACCTAATATGTCTTTTAAAGACTTGTTATATTACATCACATTCAGTAGTTTCTACTGTTCCGATCTCAAGCCGATTATCAAGGTATTGCATACTTTTACCGAACTTTTGACGAATCAGAATTTTTTTCATACTGGTTAATTATATGTATAGCAGAAAAAATTCTTAGATGTTACATATCCCTGCTTCTTTATGAGCAGAGAGGAATAAAGGTCTGTGATGTACTTTGTGTGTTAAATCAAGACAAGAAGCAAAACGTAAGTGTTACTCGTGATTCTCTACGATGGTAGAAAAATGTGTGCTTTTTTTGTTCCTTTTTTTCTAAATTCCCTAAGATGGCATGAATTACATTTTAAGATCATAAAAATTGTGAGAAGTTTTTTTATATTTAAACAGTCACTGCTTCTATGTTAGCATGGCTCACACTGAGACACAATGACACAGCTGGGGGTCAGATAACAATGGTTTTCTTTTCTTTTTTAAAAATAGATTTGCCAGAAGTTTCCCAGATGTTTACGTGTACTTAACGATTCCCTAAAAGAAGACAGAATAACCTTCGCTAATGATGAAAAGTAAGATGTCTGTTGTTATTCTATAGGAATCTAAGAATTTGTTATTGTTATTTTATAGCAATCCCATGTGTTTTACTAAATGATAAATCAGAATCACTATAATATGGAATGTTATGACATCATTTTGGCATCCTTAGATGGGCAGTACATTTAGGGATATGGTTCATATAAATGTTCAGCATTTCTATTTTCCTTATATCTTCATCAATCCAGCCTTTTTTCTGAAGTCATAAAGGAGTTATCTATCCAGTAATCCCAAAGGGATTCCTGACTTCTACGCCAAATTCTCTGTGTAACCCAAACCTACTTAATACCCAGCCCACTAACCTGACAGCAAATCCAGTGCCCAGCATTTGATAGGTTGGCTTCTGACAGGTGCAGATTTTAAGGATGCTTCTAAACAGACAGCTGTCAGGACCACACTCATGGAAGTCTAATGCTGTCAGCAGTAACACTGACTGAGTCATGGTGGCAGGAATTCTTGGTTATCAGAGGTTAGAAGAAAAGCAAATATTATGTGAGAAATGTCATTGGACAGAGAGATGTCATTCTTTGTGCCATAGCCTTTTTGAATGACCAAACTAGGAGCCCAAATGGAAGCCAATGAAATCTAGTAATTTCACGTCCATCTTCTACTAGCAATGGGAAAAAATGAATTACTACACAAAAGGCTCCTTGGTTCTGAGGTCATTTTTATTATCTGGAGGTTTTCATTTCTTTTGTTTTTCAGCCTTTTTGAATGCAGGGCCTTTTCACTTAAGTACCTCACTGGGCCTTTTCAAAATTTCTTATTGTGAGACAGGATCTCACTAAGCTGGGTTCAAACTTGTGGTTCTCCTGCCTCAGCCTCCCAGAGTGCTGAGATTACATGCCTGTGCCACTGTGCCTGGCCTGTTGTAGCCTTTTAATGAAAACATTTTAGGTTTTATAAAACAAGATGAAATAAGGTACACTGTGCAAATCCAATGTTTCAGTATTCTTTAATACATCTAACATAAAAGTAAATTAAATCAATTAAATACTTGATTACATTATGCACCATTAGAAGAGAGGGAAACTAGATTGGAGAAGAAATTATTATGGGGAGTTGTCTGTATATGAAACTGTCATTCCTTGGAAAGAAACAAAGGGATTTCTTATGTTTTGGGCAAACCTCTTGTTTTGCTGACGCCTTAAGATAAATCCCAAGATATAGCTCCTGAACTGAATTGTGTTCTCCCACTTGTCCCTAGCGTCAAATTCCTGTCTTCTCCTCTTCTCATCTTACATGGAGAGGATGACAGAACAGTGCCAATAGAAGATGCAAAAAAGGTAAGCTAAAAAATTAGAGGCCACAGAAACATATATATTTATTTTCCTTTTATTTTTTTCATCCAGCTGGATTTTGATGAGTGCTTAAGAGAAGATCCCTGATACTACGTGGGATTCTCTATGCCCCTAAATAGCCTGCTATCCACACTGCCAATTAGTTGACTACTGAGCTTAAAGGAATATTTTGAGGGGTCACTCAGCCATTCATTTGGCCCGAGTGCAGAGAAGATCCTGGGCTGTTGTGGAAACCTCTGTGTGGGCTCCCCAAAGCCAGATGGTTTTTCCCCTTTAGACAGACCTGTTCTAGAGTGGCCCATAGCACCCCTAGTCCATTAGCAACCAGGAACAGGAGCCCCAGGGACGTCTGGAGAGTCCCATGTGTCTGACTTAATGAGAACGCTCTCTGCGTTGGTTGTTTTTGTGTCTTTTAGGAAAATTATAGCAGACCTGTGGCTTTAAACTGCCATCCCTATATCTGGTACTTTGAGTAACTCTTGTACAGATAATTATGTAAAATAACAACCTTATTTATGTTCCAACGCCTTGTTTTGAAAGCCTATCTTATTGTTTTGGGCTCTTAATTAGTGTTATTTATTTGTTTCTTGTATTTTGTTTTTTCCTCTAATACAGAAAGAATAAATGTACCTGTATAGCCTTATACATGCCTAGATCCTCTCCTAAAGAGTTTACAACAATTGATTTTATTACCTGTGTGGTATTAGCAGCTACTTAGAAGAAAACAAGACATTATGGTAGCTACTGCTGATTGCCTACCATCTTGTTTTGAAGACCAATAGTGCTTTTATTCTTTGTTTTGATTGGTTTTTGTCTGTTTTTTATTATTCAATTTCAATATGTGTGAAGGTGTAGTCAGCTATTTTGAAGAGAACAAGAGACATTATGGTAGCCATTGCTGATTTTCCTATTATCAGGTTTTGAAGGCCTATGGTGCTTTCATTCTTTTGTTTTGATCGGTTTCATACTATTTTGTTTTGTTTGAATTCATTGTGTGTGAAGATATGGGAAACCATTTCGAAGACAACAAGAGACGTTATGGTAGCCACTGCTGATTTCCTGTTGTCTTGTTTTGAAGTCCTGTGTTGCTTGCATTGTTTCGTTCTGATCTGCTTTGTTCTGTTTTACTTTGTTTTATTCTCTTTAAAATACAAAAAAATAAATTGCCATCCCTGAGTTTCTGCCTTTCTGTCTCTTTCAGCTCTACGCAATTGCACATGCAGCCTATAGGAATAAAGAAAGGGTCAAGATGGTTATCTTTCCTCCTGGCTTCCAGCACAACCATCTTTGTAGAAGTGTCATGTTTGTAAGAGTTGTGAGGTACGAACTGCTTTGCTATATGTTTGTCTTCCTGTAAAGGCAACTTGGGCTGCTTTGGTTTACTGAGACCAGGAGGAGGAACAAGTGTGAGCCGATCCGGGTCCTTTTTTTGCAGAGATTTCCTGAGCAAGCAGTGGGCGTGAGCTCTGAGCAGCATCTTCAGTTGCAGACCTGCGAGGTATACTTCTTTGATGCAAAACTGAACAAGGCTGCTTACTGGAGCTGAAAGCCTACAAGCTTCCACAAACCAAACCACCTGTTATTTTTAGTAAGGCAGGCATGGGCGCTGGGTGGTGTGGAGAATCAGAACCCGGTAAATGTTGGATCCCATCTAAAATATACGGTTAACAAACATTCTGGGAATAAGTTGGTTGCTGTGGCTTGGTGTCCGTGTCTGCCCCAAATCCAAAAACTGAGACCTACTCAGTAACGTGATGGTTTCAGGAGGTAGGAAGTCCTGAGGGGTGGCTCTTATCAACTGGTTAGTGAAATAAGCCCAGAGTACCTCTCTCTGGGGAGGACACAGTGAGAAGGCCCATCCATGAGCCAGCCCTGGTTCTCACTAGTCACCAAATCTGCCAGGCCCCTGATCTTGGGCTTTTCATCTCCAGAACTATGGGAAATAAAATTTCTTTTGTTTATAAGTTAGCCAGTTTATGACCCTTTGTTATAGAAGCCTGCATAGACCAAATTCATGGTCTTTGATTTGATTCAGTGTGAGAAATGCGTCTCAATGTAGTAAAAGAATTTCAACTTTAGTTTAGTTCATTTAATGGCATTAAAAGGTTCCAGGCAGTTTTCTAGCTTTCTGGTTAGTTTTAGGGAAAGTCCTAGAAGGCTACAGACCTGTTGTCTAGTAATAAGTTTTGACACTTATTCAGCCTTTGGAAATTGACACTTTATTTTTAGCCCTAAATATAGTCATGTATTTTCCCATGCCCAGACATACTAAATATCAGCTGACAAAACACAAAACAAAATCAACAAATGTTGCAAAAAATGTTCACATTCCATAAGAAGCTCTGTTTGCTGGGGACAGTTTACAGTGCCATTCCTTTGGTTTTGTTGACCTCATTGCTAGATTCAGTGGACAGGGAAATCTTTAGGTCCGAAGGCTCCATGTTCCAGATGTCCCGGGCATATTCCTTAATTGTCCGGTCACTGGAGAATTTCCCCGAGGCAGCTATGTTTTTGAGCACCATCCTGTTCCAGGCTTTTGGATTCTGTAAACAACAGATGTATATGTAGCCTAGGGTCTGGGTGGCCAGCAGGCCTGGCGACAGACATCAGGTCAAACGTGTCTCATAGGGAAATGACAGCACTCCAGTGAGTTATAAACACACTTGCTGCAGAGCTGACACATAGGTAGGGTAGACTACGTTTTTCTCCTATTTAGAGTATATTGCTCTCAGGAATGAAAAAGCAGTATTTTTTATTTGAAGAGAGAGTGAGGATACAGTTCCATAACTGGTGATTCCTACTGTGGTTACAGTGCTGGGGCGTGAACACCGTGTTTCTCGCACTTTATTATGGATGGAGCGATCTCTTTGTAAACTGGGCAGGAGGAGAAGGCAATTTATGCCCCACAACACACCAGGTTGAGACATTTAACCTGTTGCTCACACAGCTTCAAAACTCCACCCCTGAATGCTCTCTGTGAGTGTAATGCAGGCAGGCAGCGCAATGAAAGGCTTTGTTGACCTACCTAGCTGTTTTGTTCTCTAAAGGTACATGCCCCTTGACATGGAGTCCCAAAGACTCCACTGGGGTTTCAGAACAGGGTGAATTAAAGCTTTAACCTTAAATATAATCACAAACTTTTATACAAAAAGTCTGTATAAAAACTATAAGAAGACATTAAATGTATAGCCTCATATTTGTGTAAGAATGCTGAGTCAGGCATGGTGGTACACGCAGGTAATTCCAGCACTCGGGAAGCCTGAGGTAGAAGGATCAGCATAAGTTCCAGGCCAGCCTGGACTACATAATGAGACCCTTTTCCAAAACACCCCCCAAACCAAACCAAACAGCCTCTGCTCCTAAAAACTCTGAAAGTTTATGGGTATTATTCGAATGCTTTATAAGCATTTAAAACAGAAACTAAACCTGTCATCATACCTCCAGGTACCATAAAACAGAGCCTGAAATTATATTTATTCAGGCTTTGCAAGCTTTATTATAATAAAAGCAAATAAGAGCTTCCTCTCTTCCCTTTATTCCGCTATTTAAGCGAGTGATGGCCAGACTTCAGGCTCTGCAGGTCCTGTTTGCTCAGCCTCAACCAGAGATGATTATTGTGAAGAATGGGAAACTGTAGTTTGCACTAATGAGCAAGCAGAACTGTGTCAAATGGGCTTCTGGATCTCTGGACTTGGGCCATAGTTTACAGAGGAGAGGCACGGGGTGACCTGACAGTTACACTGGTCCTTGTCCTTATTTTCCTTTCCTGCCTTGTTTCCTTTGCATTTCTTGAGGTGGTCCTTCACCTTCCTCCAATGCTGAGTCCATGGGGGGCTGTGTGTGCCCCCTAGCTTGGTCCAGCCAGTTTCACATCTTCACAGCCACTAGCTTAGACTCACTCTACAGGGTCTGCAGAGAATCTAGGGGCACTGGTGTGACTCAGACAGAAACTAAGGGCTGGAAAGTAGCACGGGCTTTGAATGGTCCTATTTAACAACCCCCTGGGGATGTGGGGGGTGACTTTAGGGACTGCCTGTCACTTGTTTTGAGGAAGAATAGAGAGAAATGTTGGAGCACAAAGCTCTCCTATATGCACTGCTCTGGGATTCCTGTGATTCGCTTCCAGCTCTATACCTAGAGGGCTATTGGATAAAGAATTATAATGTTGCATGGGAAGGCTTATTCATGTGGCTCTAGCCCTTTAAAAATTTTTGGGTGATATGGTCCTTTTTTTGTGGTCATGTCTTTTAAAAAATATTCAGCACGAGTTAACCCTCTTTCTACACATTTTTTCTCTACTCATACAGCCTGACCCCATGAGTGGTCCGAAGTGGGACTTACTTTGTAATTTTCAATGACTGGGGGATCTGATCCTTATCCCAGTAAACTAAGGCTCAGCCTTAGAAACATCTTGGCTGGATTTTCAAATACTGATGGTGGATTCTGCCCACTACTGGGTTAGAAGCTTTGTGCGCCTAGGGGCGGAAGCATCTCTGTACCTTGGGACAGCTGCTCTGGTGACAGCGAGGTGGGGTCGACAACTCCAGGGTTAGAGGGGTAGGAGGCTTTCCCGTGCTGTGTCTCAGGGCTCAGCACCATGCCCAAGGCTCCACTGCATCTCTGAGGCCTTATACCTCCAACCTGCCAAGCCATGTCTCCTACAAAGTAGGTGCTCAAGAAGTGATGAATCACTGGTGATTTTTAACTTGGATATTAAAAATTTACAGTTGTTATGGAAACTTCAAATCCCAGTCTCTGCTTAAACTCAGGAAAGTCATGTTTTGAGCTGAAGTACCTGGAAAGTTGCTTCACTTCTTTTTTGGGGGGGCTGGAGACAGAACATATGGCCATGCACATTTTAGGCATGTACCGCATGGCTGAGCAACATCTTCAGCCTATCCTGCCCCCTTTTCAGTAGTAAGAGGGGCCCCCTATGATTTAGATTTAATAAGAAAGCAATTTGATTATCCACAGTAAACTGAGTTCTTTCACAAGTCTCTGCAAGTTACTCACCATGTACAGCTGACTGACTTTTTCTTGACATTTGACATATGCTTCATAATCTGCAAAAACTTTAAACCTGTGTTTTGTGATTGGAAGGAAAAAGCAAAAGAGCAAGCTCCATTAATAGATGCACGCTAAAATTCCACTTAAAATTCTCTTCTCTTAATGTCAGGCATGATTAGTTTACCAAAACTTCCTCTTTCCATTCATAAGTGTTTAGCAGCCTGCTACTTTTTTGTGGTTCTTGCTGCATGTGAAAATGTCATCATATGGATGCATTATCAGTGGAAGGAGAAAAAGGACAGCAGATTGGAAGATTTTATTCTCCCTCCCCCTTTAAAAATTATTAGTATGTCTTAGCGATGCATAATAGTTGCATTCATCTTGGGGACTTAGTACATACACATTTACATCTTGGTCACTTTAACTCCTCTCCTCTCCTCTCCCCTCTTTTTATCTTCCACAAAATCTACCTGTTTCTTATCATCTCTCTTTTCTTTTGTTCTTTAAATTATTTAATTTTGGGTTTCTCACATCAGCGAAACCACGCACTATTTAACTTTCTGTGTCTTGTTTAATTCACTTAGCATTATGGTCTCGAGAGCCATGCATTTTCTTGAGGGTTTCATTCCTTAACCCTTACTGACATTGTTGATGGAGACCAATTCTTTTTCCTACGCTCTGAGTTGCTGATCAGATCACAGATCTATGCTAACCTGAGTGAACTGTCATTGGCTCAAAATGTTTTGTGCCCTTTTTACAGCCCAAATTATACCAATTCCTTGGGGGAACTCACCTGTCATGATGAAATAGCATGTTGATGATGTCTTTGAAGAGGTCAGGTTGCTCAGGAGAAAAGAAGCCATTGTCAATTTGATCAATGACCAGCTTCAGCTCTGGAAGTGCCTCATAATACTCTTTTGCCTTGTACCTGCAGGGAAAGACGGATGGGTGGTGACATTCAGGCTCTGTTAGTGCATGTGATTGATGACCTGTTAAAACGCTGCATCAGCCACACAAGTGCATTCAGAAATACCAGCATTTATGAAACCATTATTAATTCCCCCATGGGTATAGATAATTTTTTTTTTTCATTTTTTTTTTAATTTTATTTAAGGAGAAAAGAAAAAAAAAGGAGGGAAAGGGTACAAGTTATACAGATTTACAGAAAAAAAATGAACAGTAGGAAATCACTAGTTAATGGATTACATATTGTCATCTTAGAAATAATTGTTCAAGTCACAAAATTAAAGCTTGTAAAGTGGACATTCCATCAATGATACTGCAAACAGTTCTGTTCATTGATCCAATAAAACTCTGTGATATCATTTTCTATCTTATACACTTAAATATACATGCAGTTATATAGTTTGGAGCACTTTCTTTTCCTCTCTTTTGTACCATGACTATTACACATTTTGGGTTTCATTGCTCCCACGGTTCTTATTACTTTTTTGGAAGAGAGTAAAACCAAATGTGACATAACAGAACAGAATCGGTCAAGTCAAAAGGGTGAACATAATAGATAATGTAAAAACATAATACAAGGTGATCAACAATGGTTACCATAATGCCTCCCGCTATCTCTAATAGAATTGCCTATATCATTAGTTATAATACAATTGAACAAAACAGTAAAGAATAAAACCGACAAAACCAAAACATTGGAGACATTGTAGTCTTCAAAAGTAGATAAAAGTCAACGAGAATGGGCGTCATAATGAATCTCATTATCTTCACAGCTGATGCCTAAACTTTCGAACCTGATACTATCCAGCAAAACAGAATAGGGGAACATCAGTTAAAAACCAGATGGTGAGAGTAATACAGGGCTTTAAATCAAGGTAATGAAAAGTCAAAGTGGGTTACTATAATATATCCTGCTATTTTTTTTTCCTTTAATTAAAAGGATAAAGATAAAAAAGTAAATAATGGAGTGGAGATTGAGATAAAAGAGGGCATAACAACGAAACAGCGCAGATCAAAACATAACCATTTAAGCAGAATAGGGTTTCACCACCAGATAATCCTAACCTAAACGTAGTTACCATATTGTTTCTTTCTTTGAAATCCTTGAGTACAACTTCGTATACTGTAGCATTAAGTATATCAAAACAATGTAAAACCATTCAAGAGAATGACAGTATTACAGAGTATTTAGAATCAACTAACAAAATGAACAATGGTTTCTGTATAATCTCCTTGTCTTTAAAAGGTTTTTGCTTATACTATCGTACATAATAAAATCCAATAAGATACAGCCTATTTAGACCATTGGAGACAGAAGGACAAAAGCTAGATGAGACTTCAAAACAAGATGATACTAAATCTGTATTACCTATTAAGATGTCATTTTCTCCAAAATAGCTGTTCCTATCATCCAATCTTCTCTGCCTCATTTCTGTTAAGCTCTTTTTCTGTCCGTAGCTGTCAGTTTGTCTTCTTCATTTTGTTCTCTGCTCCATTCGTTGTGGCCTCTCTGCCATTATTTCTGCATTCTTTGTATTTTTCTTTTTTTAGAATATCCTGCAATACTCTCTGTAGAGTTGAATTGGTGGTTGCAAATTCCCCCAGTTCTTCTTTATCCTGGAAGCACCTTGTTTTTCCATCAATTTCCAGGGACAGTTGTGCAGGATATCTCAATCTTGGCTGGAGATTATTATCTTTCAATGCTTGAATTATTTCCCCCCACGCTCTTCGTGATTTGATGGTTTGTGCAGAGAAATCTGCTGTAATTCTGATGGGTGTTCCCTTGTAAGTGGTCTGTTTCTTGTCTCTTACAGCTTTTAATATTCTGTTCTTGTATTGAATTTCTGGAATTTTTATTATTATATGCCTGGGTGTTGCTCTGTTTGGGTTGTAGGTAGCTGGGGTCCTGTATGCCTCATACATCTGAGTATCTTTACCTTTTGCTAAATTAGGAAAATTCTCCTGGATTATTTCTGTGAGTAGCTTTTGTAGTTCACTTGTTTGTGTCCCTACTTCTTCTTTTATGTTCTTAATCCTTAAGTTATGGATCCTCTTATCATCTTCTTGTCTTTGTATTATTGCTGTTTGTTTCTTTGTTATTTTTAAGAAGTTTTTCATTTCATTCTCCCATATTACAAGTCTGCCCTCCAGTTCAGATAGTCTGTCCTTAGTTTCTTTCAAGCTGTTATGCCAGTCTTCTATAGACTTCTTAGTATCTTGGTAGTCCCTTTGAACCTGCTTCACGTATTCTATGCTTTCTCTGTTTTCTCCATCAAACAATTCTCCCCTTTTTTTCTGTTCTTCCATTCCACCACCTGTTTTTTCTTGGGTGGTACTTAGCATTTCTCTAACTATTCTGCATACTTCTAGCTTCAGGTCATTGATAACTTCATTCCTGAATTGGTCTATGAGGCTCTCTATATGGTGCCTTATGTGTATTGGTGTGGTGTCTGCTATTGCCTGTTTCTCAGAATTGGGGGCCGAGGAGCCTTTCTTGTTGCTGCCTCTTCCCATGCTGCCTCTTCTTCTCTGTTCCTTATATATGCAAGCTTATATAAGAGGCCCAGCTTCTCTCCCAGTCAGCCACAGCCTGATCGAATTGCGCCAGTTAGTTGTTCCCGCTCACCGCTGCGCACCAGGGAGTTACGGACCAGGCAGCCTACGCGTCTCCCCTCCCGGCCACCGTCAGGCTCTGGGATCTGGGTTGGGACAGCCTACCAGGTCCGCCGGCAGCTTCACGCAGGCCAGGGACTTTTCACCAATCCCGCCTGAGAGGGGGATGTGTGGCTGGAGTCGCCACCGCGCCCTGCTCCCGCAGGACTGCTCGGGCCCAGAAAGTCCTCTGCTGGAGTCAAACTGTGGTAGAGTGTCAGTTTCTCTCACTCACCTCACCACAAGTCAGTGCACACCTCCCTGCCGTTCGCAGATTGCCGTTCTCAGAGCTTCTGCACGTCTCTCCCCTTGCTGAGCCACTGTAGAGGCAGCCAGCCGCCGCGCGGCGGGAAACCCAAATCACGGCTTACAATGGCGCGGTTCCAGCCTCCACACCGAGTCTTTTCTGTTCCTGTTTTAGCACCAGGACTGCATTCCAAGTTGGCTTCTCTCAGCCCAGTTCGTTCCTGAGTCAGCAGAGCATATCTCTACCGCCTTATGTCTCCTTAGTCCGCACCATTCCTGGCTTCTGAGCCGAGTCTTTCAGAGAGCCTCCAGTAGTTGCTGTTATCTGTCCGCCATGTTCTCCCGGAAGTCCCAAGGGTATAGATAATTTTTAATAGACCCTGAAGTATATTTTCTCCCTAAGTTTGATTCAGTCTATGTAACCATAAACACTGAGAGGAGTAGATGTTGGAAACTCTGTGTACACAGAGCAATAGTCTGATCTGCTAGAACACAGCAAGATTAATTTCAAAGCAGTCTTCATGGTTGAAAACAAGCATTTCTTAGGAGACCAGCTGCACCCACAGATTCTTAAACTTTGTGGCTGTGAAGTGTAATTTATTTCTGAGGCTCAAGATTATATTTTATACCCTCCAAATTTTGTTATCTGTGGAGATCCTTTGGGTATTACTCTTCATTTCTTGCCTGAACTGCGATTAATAAACCTATCTAGACATTAAATGAAAAAGAATGTTCCTGAGCGTTTCTTTATGTCCCTCTTTATTCTCTCCCACCTTTGGATCTACTTTTTTGGAATCTTAAAAAGAAGCCTAGACAGTGGTTTAAATTATAGGTCCTGGCTCATCTTTCCATCAGAACTAAGTCACAGATACAGAGAACTGCTCGAGGCTGCAATGGCTCAACAAGTAGCAACTCCTCTGTGTACTGGCACCTAAGCATCCTTTACTTTTACCAGGACTGCTCTGCACCAGGTGGCTTCCCTCACTCCTATGAGAGATGTTCCGCTGTCACATCTCATACGATGCAGCCACCATGGGGCACCTGTGTGGGCAGGAAGCCCTCTGAGACGCACATCCTCCGGGAAGTCACCTGCCCAACACACAGAAATGGCTTTCTCACCCTTTTTTGTCCAACGCAGCCACATCATCTACTCGCATGCCAAAGATGAACAGATTTTCTTCCCCGGCTTCCTCTGCCATTTCCACATTGGCTCCATCCATGGTCCCAATGGTCAGAGCCCCGTTCAGCATGAACTTCATATTGCCTGTACCTGAGGCTTCAGTGCCGGCAGTGGAAATCTGCTCCGACAGGTCTGTGGCTGGGATGACTGTGAGAAAGGCACATTAACATTACTGACTCGGTCTCTGCATCCCCTTGTGCTACATCTGAGCATTTTTCTGGCTGGCCTGTTGTGTTCATGAATATGGGCACATCAAGATTAAAAATTCAAATGGATGCAGGAGGACACTGCTGACTCTCCTTTAAAGTGACAGGCAATCACTTTGTTCATCTGTGAGGAGCTACATAGCTGCCTGCCTATAGGCCTCTTTTCTGGTCTATAAAATTTCAAGAGGGTTGACTTTTGATTCAGGGTTACGGATGTTGCCACTATATTTTCTTCTTCCATTGCGGCTTTCCAGTTTTTGTTGTAGTTTATTTTTACTTCCTCTGCTTTTTTTTTTTTTTTTTTTTTTTGTCTTTTTGAGACAGGGTCTCACTGCAGTTAAGGCTGGCCTTGAGCTCATTTTGTGGTTCAGGCTGGTCTTGACCTTGCGAATGACTCTCCTGTCTCAGCCTCCCAAGTGCTGGGATTACAGGAGCATGCCGGCTTTCTCTGCTTTGTAAAATACACTGCAACTTCTCTTTCTGGGTCCATAAAATTCAGAAGTCTCCCTAGATTCTTTGGGAAGCTGAGGACCCTGGACTGCTATATTCCTAGCGGTCTATACCTCCCCACTTCCACTTTCACCGCAGGGAAAGCCCCACCCCTTAGCATGATTTACACACAAACTAGAGCTGCCATACCCCCGCCCATCGTTTTCATTACAAAGGGGACTAACTCTCTCTTTTGAGTGTTTATTTGTGGATTATATTCATGCTTATTTGCACTACTTAGGGACATGGCCTTTTTTAGGCAGATAGTTCTTAAACAGTAACTTCAGGGGACCTCACAAGAAAATTCCCTTTCTGTCTCAATTTGGGAAGTAGGTGAATACGCAGCTGGCATTTGCATTTGCATATCCGTGGTGCTCTGGCAGCAGGTGATACAGATAAGGGAAGGTGCCAGCAGCTCCCCACCAGCCTGGCCCCATGTGGGAGCTCTGTGTTTGATTCTCAAGGGCCGGTCTGAAGCACAGCTAAGTCAACCTGATGTCTGCTCTTGTTCCCTGTTGTTACGTGAACAAATAGCAGCCCTTCTATGCAGAAGCAGAGGAACATCTGCAGTTTGGGGACCTGCTGTTCTCCTGCAAAACGGGCTGGGAACTGATGACCTTTCCTCCCTTCTTAGAGCCCCACCAAGACCATGCCAAGGCAGCAGGGCAGCCTCTGGCTTTTTTGCCTGCTGGGAGAAAAAAAAAATGCACTTGCAAATGAACTGTTAGGTGTGACTGGAACATACGGTAAATATTTAAATTGAAAATTTATTACCATTAATGCTTCTCAAAATACTGCCCTTGTTTCAAAGTCATCATTCCATCATTCTTGTCACTTTCTGACACGGTTTTGGAAGTTCTTTTTTGTGTCTTTAGTTGCGCTGTCATGACTGCATAAGTGACCTGAATTGATTCAGAGGATTTACCATGCATGGCTGTTTTGACTTGGAGGAGAGCCAGAAGTTGCATAGTCCTAGATTCAGTGAGTAAGGTGATGATGCTGCATCACGCTGGTTTTAGAAGCCTGCTTTTCTACTGGACGGCACTTGGTGTAGCATCCACTGTATTTTTGATAAACCCTTGTAAAGCCCTGAAAGAGGATTTCCAGATCTGCCTCGGAAAATAGCAAAGATGATGGGCTAAGGGTGTTCAAAGCCAGAGGAGTAGTCTGAGTGGGATTAGTGTCTTTTACTGTAATAAGTTTATTACATTTAAGCATCGGCTGTATATTTTGATTGTACATCGTAATTCCATGACACTGGGTCTGAAAATGCCACTTTTATCGTCACCTAGATCATCTTAAAAGCTCCTGCCTTGTTCAGTCCAGGAGAGCCAGCTTCTGTCCTCAGATCCTGTCTCCTCAACAGGCTCAGCCACCTGTTTTCCATGCTGTGCAGTTCCTAGCATTTGCCTCTCTCCTTTGTGGTTTGCAACAAGGACAGTACCTTTTTCAGCAAGGGACACCCTATAGTTCTCCAGGAAGATGACTTTCAACTTGCTGCCAACCACAGGATCATTGTTTACCACCTCTGCCACGGAGGTGATCAGCTTTATGATCATTTTGGCCATGTGATATCCTGGGGCAGCCTTGGGGGAAGAACAGCAGACACTGGTAAGAGCCACCATTGATGAAGCCAAGACAGGGCAAGAGCTCACAGCCCCCAAGAGCCCAGGGAATACGGTCAACTCACTTTGCCACCAATGATTACCGTCCTAGGCACGAATAATTTCTTTGGGTCTTTCTTAATGCCTGAAAAAGATGGAGAAGTGGATGGGATGTGGGCGAGGCTGGCGAGGCTGATGGCACCTGATGCCATCCCCCTTCCCATCACCTCTCTGGTGCCCTGGAGTCTGCGGGGATGACTCACGGTTATACATGGTGATCACATGCAGGCAGTTTAAGAGCTGCCGCTTGTATTCATGAATCCTCTTCACCTGAACGTCAAACATGGAGGATGGGTTGATCTTCACTTTGTACTCCTTCTCCAAGTACTGAGAGAACTTGAGCTTATTCTCCTGTGGAGACAGTGCATGGGGCCAGGGCCCTTCTCACTGAAAAGCTTTTGGTGGTCTGGCTTTCGAAAGTGGAGGAGAAATCCTCAAAGCCAGTGTGTGTGTGGGGGGGTGTCCTGGTGGCCTCACCTGCTTCACTTTGGCCATTTCCCGCAGAAAGACATCATCCCCCAGGAAGCTGTGCAGCTTTGTCAGCTGGCTCAAGTCTTTCACGTAGTCTTCCCCGATTTTCTTTCAATTTAAGAGAAGAGGTGACTTTAATTCAGGAGTGGTAATCACGCCCACTGGAGTTTCCATTGGTAGTAGAGTTCCCATGCTACCCAATACCCAGTTCACAGAACAGGCTCATCCACAGAACAGACTAGAAATTCTGCACGGGAGAACACTTTTACTAGTATGGTAAACACAGTCCAGTGATATTAAGGTATTCAAGTCAGGAAATTTACTTGAAAGGGTGACCCAGAACCATGGTTCCATTAATTATCTGTTTGAACTGGGATGTCTCCATTTACTAATGGGGCTGCCGTCTTCCAGCTGTGGGTCATGTGGATACTGTTAGCCATGACCAGCTACTTAATTTGCAGAAAGCCCTGATTTAAAAATTAAGAATTTCAAGATATCTGCAGCAGAGAAAGAGCCTAAGCAGCATGCAGCTGTGTGTGACAGTGCCAGGCCCACACCATGAAGCCAACCTTGTTGTGGGACAGATTTGTAACTTTGTTTATTTATTTATTTTGATCTTTTTGAGACATGGTCTCACTGTGTGGTTCAGGCTGGCTTTCAACTCACTTTGTAGTCCAGGCTGGACTTGAACTCACAGCAGTCCTCCTGCCTCAGCCTTCTGAAAGCTGGGATTACAGGCATGTGCTGCCATGCCCAGAACATTTACAAACACCAGACCTCCCTTGCCTTTGTACTTCCCCTTACCTCTGCAATGAGCTCCGCCAGCCCTGGGTTGCACAGCAAAAGCCAGCGCCTTGGAGTGATCCCATTGGTTTTATTCTGAAATTTGTCTGGTTCTAGCTCGCTGAAGTCCTTGAATCTGGAGATGGAGGAGATGAATCACTGAAGCTGGCCCAAAAAGCACGTTGGATAAAGTTCAAGAACCAAGTGTAGGCTTAAAAAGAGTCCATAAAGGTGAAGGGAGAGGCTGGCAGCAGCTATGGCTGCCATTCTAAATAGAAATTCATTTGCAATTCAACTACAAGAAAAGCTCCAAATCTAGTCACCCCATCTGACTTCCTGGGACTGACATACATACACCAGGTTTTCTAGCAGAATAGTGTTTTGGTTTCTGTCTTTCTTTCTCTTTGCTTCTAAGTCTAGAATATGTATTGTTCAGGGAGGAAAGTTTCTTTGTTTTTTAAAAAGAAGATTCTTTGTATGGAAGATAATTTTTTCAGTGCTGAGAATCAAATCCAGGGTCTCCGGTGTGCTAGGCAAGTGATTTGCCACCGAGCTACATCTGTGGCCTGCTTTTATACATTTTAAGAGGGCCTTTCCTTTTCCTGAAAGGCAAATTTGCATTTTTGAGCATCTTTCCATTCATGGATGTCTGCCCAGGGTGGGAGACTCACACTTTGGTCTTCACGATGTCTGAGTGGATCTTGGCCACGCCGTTCACAGCGTGGCAGCCTACGATGCAGAGATGGGCCATGTTGACCCTTTTGCCCCCTTCCTCTTCTATCAGAGACATCCTTCTCAGGCGGTCCACATCTTTAGGGAACAAGGCCATGATTCTCTAGCCAAACAGAGAGAAAGACCTTGCTGGTTACTCAGGCTTGATGCGACACTGGGATGCTACTCCAGCTCCAAGCTGAAGCTCTCCCACAGAAAGGGGATGGGTTAGCGCTGAGGAGACGCCAGCCCCATGCCACTTCTTCCCAAAGATGTGTTTAATTAGAGCCCCACTCAGACTTGAGCACTTTTGATGGTATCCAGGATGGAGAGATGCATGGGCGCCAAGTTTGGGAAAAGTATTTTAAGTCCTCATTCCTAAAAGGAGTTAGGACCTCTCTAGGAGACTTACATCCAAATGCTTCTGATTGATTTCATAAATGATCTGTAAGTGTCGAGGCAGCAGCTTCTCCACCAGGTCCACCGGCCAGCGCTCCGACGCTTCTGGGAGCACAGTGTGGTTGGTGTAGGCGAAGGTCTTCTTTGTGATGTCCCATGCCTGCAGGAAGAGGGGTCAGCTGCTTCCTGATGTGCACCCCACCCTGGGCCAAGCACGCCCTCAGCTCTGCTCTGTCTGCTATAAGGTGACTCAATCTGACACTGTGGGTTCCACTAAGTTCCTGGACAGTCTGGGTAATGGGAATGTGGTTTTTTGGGGGAGGTGGGGTTACCTGTAAAACTGATAAAATTTCGTACAGCTTTTTGATAAATCCCCTGTACTATTCCATATGCCTTTCATGAAATATACAAAGATTAGGGAATAAAAACTAACTGTTCTCATCAGACACAAAGTATGTTTAAACTGCTGACTTCCAGAGCTATGTGGACACTTCCAATTAGCTGTTCTCTGGGGTTAGGAAATTTAATTTCAATCCTCTTAGGCTCAGAAATGTGAAACATGATATAATCCTTACTACAGCTCCTGATCTACCTCCAGTATGCATGTATTTAGGGTTCAGTCTTATTCTTGTGAAGCACAAAGAATGAAGCAAAAGGGAAATCAGCAACAGTAACTGGTTTTGAAAATCCAAAAAAGAGCTTTTTTAGCAGTTCCTTAGCCACAGATATGCTGGTGAATGGAAAGAAAAAGAAGCCAAACTTTGCAGACCTTGGACCAGGGTAATTTTTCAATATCCACAAAAATCCTCATCAGCTCGGGGATGGCGAGCGCAGGGTGAGTGTCATTCAGCTGGATGGCCACCTGGGTTGGGAAGAGACATCCATGTCATGGACAGCTCAGGACCTGGCTTCCTTGTCCTCCCACGTGCCCGGAGGAAACACGAAGCAAAAGGCCCTGCTCCTCTGAAACGCTTGGGGCTTGCTGTTCCTCCCCAAGTCTCTCCGCACTGGGAGAGAGGAATAACCTGATGAGAAATCCTGGTCCCTCTGCAGAACCTGGTGCAGAACCTGCCTGCATCCATGAACTGTATACTTGCCTGATCTGGAAAAGCATCAAACACCGTTCCCCTGTTGTCACTGGAGGCAAACTTGGAGGCTTTGAATCGTCGGATGACATCCTGCAAGGTTGCAGCCACCACAAAGTACTCCTGCTTCAGTCTTAGCTCCTTCCCTTCAAAAAACTTCAAACCAGAGATACGGCATGAATGGGGCTCCCATTGTGGGTGGGGCCAAAGCAGGTTGGGCACTTCCTGCCCAGGGGACACAGAGGCTAAGGCCCATGGACAACTGTGGAGGATGGTGTGTTGAACACTTGAGCATCTGTCTGTGTGTTTTCCTGAAACCCCATTCAATGACAGGAAAGGGATTTTAGAAAGATGTAAAAAGACCAGGCAAGGTGAGAGCAACAATGTTTTGAAGGTAAAAAACAGATGGGCGAATGGTCATTGAGCCAGGAGACACAAGAAAGCCATGGAAAAGATCCAAAAGTAACTCAGGTTATACATCAGCGCCTCTGGGCGCAGGGTCTGGCAGTACCATGTATGGAAATAGACATGAGATCACCGGAGAGCCTGCCTAAGGAATTCTTGGTCTCAGACCTCACCTCTGATTCCTGCCGTTAAGCAGTTTCCTTTCCAGCTCAGGCTGAGCCTGGGCTTGCCTTCTCTGGAGACGGTAACCCAGGGGTCTCTGGGGTGAGGGCCAGCAGCTACAGTTGAAGGAGGGGTATCTGCCATCTCTATTAAAAATGTGGACAGCTGAGTGGGGTGGCGTACAGCAATAACTAGCACCCAGGAGGCTAAGGCAGGAGGATTGCTGTGAGTGTGAGGCCACCCTGGATTACAAAGAGTTCAAGGCCAGCCTCAACTGCAGAGGGAAACCTGCCTCAAAAAGATAAAACTATAGAGAGGGGAATGAGTGATGTTTATGTACTGAGTGGTGAGAACCTTGGCTGCCTTCAACCAAGCTTCACAATATGAATTCTACTAGAAGCAATGAATTATGAGTACTAGTTAATCCCAGCAAGACTGCACTGTGCTTCTCAGCAACACTGAAAACTAGAAAGCAATGAAACATATCTGAGTATTCTAGATCCAGGCAAAATACTAGCGTGAGGGAAGAAGGAAGTGTTGTCCAGTCTGAGAGGTTTTCAACACACTGCCCTCACATATGTCCCTTCCCTGGAGGTACTGGCAACGGTTGTGCTGCCAGAAACAGGGTAGCAAACCAAGGAAAAGAGAGACACAGAAGCAGAAAACAGTGACCTTGGGCAGTAGATGAGCACAGAGTCTTCAGAATGATGGGGAAGACGATCCCAAGATGGCAGGGAGACAGCAAATTAAAAGAACCACCAGCTAGTAGAGACTCCGAAGAGGCCCTTCAAAAAGACTGAGTTAAGAAGAATCTGACGTGTTTGAGTAATATTTGGGGGACATTTATACAACTAGAGTAGTATGCATGACAAACTAGCAAAAAGTACCCATAAAAGCAAGCAAGCAAGCAAGCAAGCAAAACAAAGAATTATTAAATCTAGAAAGCCAACCCACCAACTGACCCCAGCCAGCCAGCCAACCAGTCAACCAGCCAACAAACTCATCTTTTTAAGGAGGAAAAAGGTAGTCATTATCCAAGGGCACATCTATGCCCCATCTGCCATCTCTAGCATTACTGTAGTCATAATAATGTGAACACTGATTAAGGATCTAGTGAAAACTATGACAGACGTATGCTGAGGCAGCTGGGAAAGGGAAATACCTGTCTGTGTGGCGAGAGTGGATTTTATTGAGAATGTGAGGCCAAGTCTTATCTTTAACAGTGGGGAGTCAACAAAAGTGCGTGAATGGAAAAGTCACAAAGTAGCAATAACTGTGTGCTATTCGGAAATACGGAGGGAAGTCTTAAGAAAATCCATTAAAAGCAAAGGGATGTGAGTTAGTGGGCCACGGGCCACCATGTTTGTATAATAAGCCTCGTGGGACTGCTTTTCTCTTCACACTATGAGCCTCTGTAAGTTTGATAAACATTAAAAGATGATAGAAAACTGGATTGATACTACCATTGGAAATATATATGTGGCAGATTTAATTCTTTTAACTATCTTTTTGACATTTTGTTCTGGGTTACCCTTTGTGGCTAATGGCCACATGGATCATTGTACGAATTAGCATGAAGTCACTATTCTAAGAATCATAAAGAGTGCTATAAATTCATCTGTAATGAATTTAAACATGTTCGCTGAGCCAGGGAACTTTGAAGGTTCTAGAAATAAAATGATTAAATGTAATCATTTTAAAGAAGTAAAATGATTGGCCTTAGAGTGGGTGGGTTATAAACTAACCTTAAATACAATGTAATTTTTTCCCTTAAGGTATACACACATATACCTTGGGAACCTGGGTAGCCTGGCAATGCCTTAGCTGAGCCTGAAGGATGAGCAGGAATTTGTCAGGTGACTGGAGAGAGCTTGAGTGTTCCCAGAAGGCGAGAGAGAAGACCACAGAGGTGGAAGGACCAGGACCAATCGCCTCACTGTCCCTGTGGGACAAATCAGGACCATACCAATGAGGAGCTTATCAATGATCAGGGGCCTCAGTGTGTCAAGCAGGAGACAGATATCTCGCTGGGAGCAGAGGGAAGACAAGAGCAAGACTCTTGAAGGAGAGAAGCCACAGTCTGTCTGGTCTCGGACTAGGCCAGGCTGAGAAGAGGCAGTAAGTTGTTGCCAAAACAGAAATGACTGTATCAACCCATCCTCAAAAGCCAAAGCGCACCTGATCCTGAGAGCTATTTTACTCTAAAAGCAGCTTTGGATATGTGGCCAATTACTGCAGAAGATTATTTCTGAGTCAAGCCAGGTTTGGTTTCTTACTGAAGACAAGGGGAGGGATTCAAGCCCTTTCCAGGTGCATGGTGCTGTGGGCTGGGTTTGCAGGGCAAAATTTGCCCAGATTTGGAAGCATGCTTACTTTAATCGTGAAATAGCATAACTTTTGGCTTTTGGATTAGAGATTTCTCTAATGTGCTGAAGTCACAACATTCTCCTAACAGGATCGATACTAAATACTGTTAAGTTCTTGAAAATGTTGAGGCAAATTCCACATAATTCCCTTCTAGTCTTAGAGAGGTGGACATCTGGTCTTAAGGGTCATTTACGTCTTTGTCCTCCAGATTGTTCTTTCTTATCATCCTCGTAAAACAGAATACTAATTCGATTGCTTTTGAGGTTACTTTAGAAAAGAATCACTACAGCGTGAAAATGATTTCACCCACAAAGAAACCTAAGTTACACCCACTAATAATGTACATTTAAATCAACTAAGAGTTTACAGCATTCTTCAGGATTCAGTGCCAAGTGTGCTTTTAAAATCAAATGAGAATTTATAGCACTCACTGACAATTCTGTTCCAAGTGTTTTTTTAAAAACTAAGCATAACATTGGCATAGTCACCTATAAGGAAAAAAATTTAAGTTAACCACAAGAGGCAGAAGGGATAGGTGTTTGTTCACAGGTTTGTTTGCTCCAAGAACCATGACCCCCAGCTGGGGACAGAAGGCCAGGAAAAGCCCATCATGCAGGAAGAGGCCAGGCAGGAAACCTCCTTGATTCCTAGCTTTGCAGGTAGAGTTTCTGTCTGGAAAGGAAGTAGTACTTTCCCATTGAACCACTTGGTCATTGGGATCTAGGTTCTGTTCTGAAATTCATCCACAAAGCTTCTCAAATCAGTGGTGAGGTTACTAGTCAAGGCAAAGTACTTATTCTGATTCCTGCACTGTACAAATTTGTGTTCTTCATTTGGTTGGGAGGGGAAATCTAGAAAATTAGGAAGAAACATGGACCTTATTCTGTAAATGAAGGGGAAGAATCCAAACGACCTTTGTGTTTTACAGGATTCCTGGATAGGCTCTTGGGAAATCAGCTGTGTCTATTGTGACTCCATCACTCACATTGTCATTGGGGTACAGCACCCGGGAGATGTTCTCAGCCAGGTTTCGGTCCAGCACGGCCTGAATGTAGTCTCCGACGTTAACTGAGGAGAATGGTAGAGACATAGTGAACAGACCAGCCAGCCCTTGTCGCTGCAAGCCCCACGCTCACACCTGATGTCATGCTGCCCGCCATTCTGGTTCCAAATCTTCCTGGTTCCAAAAAAAATTCACAAACCTTCCAGGAGAGCTTGCAGTGCATGCTCAAGGGCCAGCATGAACCCTGCTTTAAAACCAACTTCCCCACTTGTTCCATAAAACGTTTGTTTCATTGCTGAAGATTTCAGAAACTCAAGGCTTTTTTTTTTTTTTTTCTCAAGCTCAATTCAGTTCTAACCAGCAATCCAAAGGATTAAACACATGCACAGAGAAGCCAGAGTCCATGCTATACTCACAGTCTCTGAGGTTAAAGTCATTTGGTGCCCGGGCAGACCACAGGCGCATGGTGTTGACAGTGTTATTCATGTACCCAGGCACAGGGGTGTCGTAAGGCAGAGCCAGGACCACCTGTGGGGTTAAACAGAAGCAGCTGCTCACGTTTCCCAGGTGTGACAATGGTGGGTCAACAACAGCTGGGAGATCGTGATAGGTTTTGATTCATGGCTCCATCACCAGCCCAAATAGTGTGAGGGGTACAGTAAGAAGAGGGTCACAGGGCTGGAGGGGGAATTAGAGCTTGTGTGGTTCCTCTACCAACTGGGATGCCCTGACTGCTGGTCTATGTAGAGCTTCCATGTTGATTTCCCATGTGCCCCTTGCCCTGATGTAGATGCAGAGGAATGGAACGCCATGGAATCAATTGTAGAGAAAGTTTATCACCCATATCTCAGCTCAAACCATCGCTCTAATAATAAGAAATCTGATGCAAGGGCACAGTGACAACTGTGAATCTGTACCCACCCCAAAGCAGCAATTAGGATAAATTTTATGCAGTTACTCAATGATCTGATTTCCTGTTCCAAAATCAATGGTACAGGAAATTTGATGAAGATAGAACATCACGTATGGTATTTAAAATGCTATGCTAGTTTTTTCGATGTTGTATAAAGAAGAGTTATTTTAGTGACTCCTATAGGGAGCTGCCAAATCAGGTGATAATTAGCTGAGCTGGGTCTAAGACGCAAGCTTTGGAATAATCTAGTTCAATCTTTGTGACAGTTGTTGAAATATAGAGAAGAACAAGAAGACAAACTATGTTTCACAGTGCATTTAAACTTTATGTGAGAAATGACTCATTTCCATTCCCTGCTTCATCAGAGTTGAGTTCTAAGGAAGAAGAGTAACAGTATCACTGAGCTGGAGGGTGCTGGATATTGTCCACTCATTTTGGACACAAGGAGACTGAGGCTGATAGAGAACTGACTTGGCCAAGGTCACAGTTAGTATCAGGACTGAAAGATAAACACCCCACTCTTTTTTGATGTGCTGAATTATAAATCAATGAAGCATGGCATCCTGTATCCATCACCAATAATCAATCATGCTTTCATGATCACTGTGACCATAAACATCATCCTTAATTGTACTATCACTGAGAAATACAGGTCTCTGTAGGTTTTTTTTTTTTTTTTTGTCTTTTTCCTTTTTATCAGTACCAGGGATCGAACTCACAACTGCCTGCTTGCAAGGCAGGCGCTTATGCCACCGAGCTAAATCCCCAGCCCCTCTCTGTAGGTTTTTTAAAGCAAGTTGTAGGTGCCCAGCTACCTCCACTGGGAGAGCATGAGCCTCTTCAAACAAGTTGTGATCAAAAAGGAGGAGCCATTTTCATTGTTTCATCTTCATTTTCAAGATTCAGGCAAGATGTGTGCTTCTGACCCTCAAAGAGTTATTGAAGCAGCCTGAGCAGTGTGCACAGGAGCTGACATCTCCTTTGAGAGAACTTCAGAGAGACCTTTCCCCCTCAGAGCTCACACCCAGGCTGTGTGGTCTCTCCAGGATGCTCCAGCACAGTGAGGACACAGAATGGTGACTTTTTAAGTGGCCAGTCTCCAAGCCCTTTGCCTGGCCGTGTCCCGGAGCAGCAACACACTCCTTCCTGACTTCACACCTGGCACAACCAGCTTGAAGGCCTCCTGTCTCCTCAGGAATTTCCCAAGCGTATCACTTGTACCCTAATTTTGTCAGGTCTCTGATTCCCAGAGGTCCTGAACTGGCACAAGAGAAAAGCGAATAGCTCAGCTTGCTGGCAGCTGCCCCATGCACTGCCGCAGCCTGCTGGACCTCATGCTTTCTGATCTCACTAGCTATGAATGTGGAGCCCATTAGGGCGACAGCCTCCTCCCCTGAAGACCCACATGGCCTGAGTCAGCTCACTGCTATCACCTCTGTCCTGTGATCTAGCTTCCCCAGATACAGAAACACTCTCTGTCTGAATTTTAGGGTACATTATGAAAACATCTGACAGTGCTTTGTAAATATAAGATGGCTCAACAGCGGGACCCAGGGTATAAAGAGAATACTTCCAGATTGACTGTAAACTGCATAATTTTAGACAGATCAGATGCCACAGATGAAAATCTATACAAATACTTGTCAGTTTGATACCATCACACATGTGATTTCTTTCTGGGGATTAGCTCTCCTGATGGTATCTGTGATCAAGCACAATTTGGATTGTGGTCTACTGTTTAACCAAAACAAAATGAAACAAAACAAAACAAAGCAAACAAAACCCCTAAGCAAAACAAGATAGGAACTTTAAAATCACAGTATTAGTCTGCGCCTTAAACCATTATACTTTAATGAGTTATTTTTGCTTACAATCTGTTACTTCATATGCTAAATTAATTCACAATCAGATAGGAAACAATTTTTAAATGTCTTATTTTTCTGAACTGTGAATAATTCTATAAGGATTAGCAAGGATAAAAACCTCAGCAGCTTAAAAGAACCAGCTATAACTTGGATCTTTGCTCTTATAAAGTAAAATGAAGCATTTATTCATGGAGAATAATCCACAAACCAATCCAATCTTAGCCCTCCAATATTAAATTTTACTCCCAATTTTCATATATTAGAACAACATTTAGTTGGTTTTTACCATTTCCTTTAAGTTTCTGAAGGATGTTTAGTGATCAATCTTTCCCAGCCTGAAGCTGTATTTATTAAACAAACATTTCAAGTGCTGCTTCAAGAACTGGGCAGAGTAACCCAGTAGTTACTAAGGATCAGGACGTAAACCGACAACAAAGCTCAAACAGCCCTGGGAATGTCGCTGCTTTGTGGGACAGTAATACACAAATCTAGGAGCAGGATGGGATACCTGCAGGTGAAATAAATATGTTTGTATCAACCCCAGCATTGCTTCTTTGGAAGTGACTTGGCACAAAATAAGACAGTACAGTTTGCATATTTTATGCTATTTTTCTGACTTCACAATGAATAAAAACTGATAATCTTTTAGGTAAATACTACAATATTAAACTATGCCAGAGAAGTTATAAGTGTATGTAAATATGATGAGGAATGATATTTAAATTTATTCCATTTTGGCATTTAAGCTTCTGTAAAACCGGAGCGCTAAGCTTGCCAGGTCTTACAGGACTGACTCTTTGCCGAGAAAGCAGATTGTACCATGACCTTGATAAATCCCTTAACCTTGGGAAAGTCACTTTTCTCCTGGTGTCAGCCTCCTTTTTTCCAGAATGAATGGAATCCATCAAGAGGAGTCATGGGTGTATTTATAAAAATATACTCTATTACTCAGCACACAAAGTACTCCTCTCAGTACCTCAAGCCCATTGCGCTGCACACTCCATTTCAGGAGCACACAAATGCTCCTTGTGAAGATGCCTGAATACCTGGGTGTCGAGCCACTTGGCCCCCGTCGGGGTGTGCTCTACTCTTCCGTAGAAGTGCACGGGCAGCATGAATTCAGGGCGGGCCTTCTCCCATGGGTTTCCATGCCTGAGCCAATCATCTGCCTCTTCCACCTGCAAAAAGGACACAGCTTAGAATGTGGTTTTCAGGAGGTTTGGACCCAGCCCTTTAGTCATGCCACAGCAGAAAACATCTGTAGCTGAAACAACTCAAGAACGTAGTCTGAGAGAGAAATGTTTAGGTTTTATCATGGCCAGTTCACCTTAAATTAACAACAGTACGTGCTAATACTGCCCTAAGTCTTTATGTGCATTACTGTACAGTATTTTAGTCTTTTATAGTCTCCTGTAGGAACTCTATAGGAGGGAACTATGGCTTTCCCCTTGCAGAAATGAGGCAACTATAACTCTTCAAGGTCACACAGTTAGGAAATGGTAGAGTTAAGTTCTGCCTGCAGACCTGTGTGTTCCAGAGTCTGCGTCTTGAAATCTGTGAATCCAGATGAACAGCTTGAGCTCGGCCAGGAGGTCCTTCAGGGATGTTTATCACTGGATACAAGGGCCAGCCCTACATGACAGTTTCCACTGAGATTCCTGTGCTGACAATATACAGAATCAGGTAGGAATGCTACTTACAGAGTACTACCTCAATCAATCTGACAAGCACAGGATAGCATAACATCCCGTAGTCTCTGTTTAATCTTATATAAATTCAGTTTGACAATGAACTATATGTAATGGTTGATTCTGAAAATGACATATAGTAAAAGGCAAAAAATTTATTTTATTGACATTATCAATATTTTTCCCAAGTATTTATGTTCCTCTATTACAAAACATTTCTTATAAATAATTTAAAACCATAGATTCTACTTAGGGTACCCTGGATGTCAAATGAATTTTGGTTTATAAAACCAAAACACCAAAACAACAAGAAGAACAATTTTTAAAAATCCACATTTTGGAAGGATAAAGTTTTAAAATAAGTGCTATATGTTCTTAGTGAAACTTAAAAATATCACATAAATTTTAAAAATCAGAATTGTACCCTGCAAAAAAGGGGAGATGATAAAGTTTCCTTGTTAATGAAGTCACTCCAAGTATTGGTTATTTCACTTGCTTATTTCTGGCCATCACCTCTTAGAAAACTACTTTATCTGAGAAGGTTTTGCTTAGGAATTAATGCACAATGCGGGACACCTCAAGACCATATCAGCATGAGCCCAATACCAGCCCAGGCACCATGCAAAGAGACAGAGACAAACACTGCTGCAGTCTTTTGGAGTCTTAGGCAAAACATGCACACCCACAGGCAGACAAACAAATAGGCTCACTTATTCCAACAGAACATATCAAGAAGGCCAGTAACTGCCAGCACAGTGATGCATGAGAAGGGGACTCACAGGCAGAAGATCCAGGACTTTGAGACCTGCAGGAGGCAGGAGGAGAGAGAGGGGAAAGAGAAATCTTGGGGTAGGGCAGAGGTGGACTTGAGCTAATCAGCTAGTAGCATCTTTCTAAAATGCAGATGGTCGGCAGGTGTAGGAGAAATCCAGTACTCTTAACAATCTTTAGGGCTCCTAATGCTGCAGGTCCTTAGTCTATGCAAAAAGCAACCAGGATGACACAGCCAGAGACCACCAGGGCTACAGAGGTCGTTCACTGGTTACTCATTAAAAGCATGGTCAGTATGGTAAGATGCCAAGGTAAGAGACCCACGGAGACGTTCAGCTATGCCTAGAAGTCTCCACTGTCCTAAACCTAGGGCCTCCTTGGGTTCCAGCAGAGCCTCATAGGACTCAGGATGCTCAAGTAGAAACCACGACAGAATGTCCACGGAGAAGCCACAGAGACAGAATGTCCTCCAGTCACGATGACTGAGCCAGATCTGTGACTCCAGGACTGAGGTAATGATTAACCAGACCCCAGCCCACAACAGCACCCTGTAAAATTGGCCTCTATTCTTCTGTGAACATGCCAGTCTGAGTCACCTCTTCAGATCTGTGTGCCCTTGAAACCAAAGCCCCTTTCTGATTTTCTTGTTAGGGAGCCAGCTGGATCTTTGGAGCTGCACCTGCCCTCCATCATACCAAGTACAGCTTTGCCCTGCAAATTTGTGCCCAGTGCCTCTGTTCCATTTCCTATGATCACTGAAGCATGGACCTGTGCTGGCTAGTGATGAGGAGCTACAAGATGATATAAAGTCAGTTAGCTAACTTATGCATGGAATTTTAAATTAAACGTATGCTATTCCTACAGAGACCAAAAAGTAAAATACAATTTTAACAACACCTAAGGTTTCCATCTAAAAAGAACCTCGGACAGTCCATTAACTTGTGTTAATAGTGGGGAGCCCTCCAGCAGATGATTGATGTTATCAACAAAAGAACAGAATGTGCTGATTTAGAAATCCTTTATACTGTGCTCAAACTGGGCAGGTTCGGTCTGTGTCAACAATGCTTCCTGTCACATGTGTGCTCACTGTGGGTTGGCAACTTCCCGAAGGGTTGCAGAAGGCAGAAGGTGGATGAGGCAGGAACAGTTTTCCCCTGTGCCACAGCAGGTGCCATCCTTCCTGCTGAGAAAGGCTGCAGGGTCACGCTCCACTCACTGGAGGTGCTTTCAGCTGAGGGTCACTGGATGGCCCCTCCCAACTCCTGCAGAAGTCCAAGTGGAGTTCCCTCTTCTATGGGCATACCTTTTTATGGGCAGAGGTGAGGAGGGTGCTTGAAAAGCAGAATTTTTAAAATTAATACTTACTAACTATACAAATTAATTAGCACCATGTGACATTTCCATACACGTGTATGGGCTGTGCACTGATCATATTCGCCCTCCCTCTGCCCTGTCTCACTCTCCCCATCTCCCTCCCCAACCCAGGGTACAATCTTAAGCCACAAAGGATTGGTCAGCTGTTCAGTCTTCTTGCTCTTAAAGGTTGGCTCAGTTTTTCCCTCCCAAATAATGGTTTGTTCTAATTTCATGGAGCTGACAAATTCTGTAGCAGACCCTCTTTACTTGCTGATCTTTATTCTGAGTCTTGCCATCGTTGAAGACTCAGTGACTAATACCTGCAAATGTACAAGGCTCATTTTTAAGGCAGATTGTAAAGCAAGGGTTTGATAGGTACAAGTCCAGCCCAGCCAATGTGAGGAGAAAGGCTGCCTCAGCCTAAGCCATGGAAGCCGTGGGCTGTGGATAAACCTCTCGCCTTGCTTGCTCCCCAGGGAGTGCTCAGGACATTTAGAATCCCATGTAGAAGATGATCCCTGAATGCACCAAGTGCTGAGTCATGTGGGGAGTGCAGGGGGCTGTCACCTCTGCTCAGACCACCAGCAAGGGTGACTTCAGAGCAGAAGAGCCAACCCAGGTCGGGGTGACACTGGATTTAGTGTCTCCCTGGAGGAATTACTCCACAGACTCTGAAGCCCAGCCAATGGGAATGCACTGGAGAAAGAAATCTTTATAAGGTTTATTTGTTGACTTCCTCTTAATATTTTTTATACAACAATAGTTCAAAGATCAATGAAATTATTAAACATTCTGGAGTTAAGTGAGCACCCCGCAGTGTACTTTCAAAGGCCAAAAGTAGGTAGCAGGCATCACCAGGTCAGAACATGTCAAAATGCTAGTCACACTGAAAATCTCTGCAGAGCTGGGCTCCCAGCAGTGAACTCTGGGTCACTTGGCTGGGGGAAGGGAACCAATTCTTTCATTTCTACGACTTCTTTTAGTATAAAATGTATATTTCTTATGGAATGTGAAATACGTAGAAGAGTAAATACAAGGTAGTAAAAGTCATCCACAATCTGGTGTTCCAAAGTTAGTTAATACTGAAACTAATGTATTTTCTTCTAGTACTTTTTATCTTCCTGGACTCCTCAGGATGAAGTCTTATTATTCATACACTTTTATATCCTTACTTTTCATCCAATGTAAACAACCTCCTGTTTCACTAACGTTAACTAAAAATGTAATAGTGGCCTGCATCCGCCTCCCCGGGTGTCTGGAGGATTGTGGATTTCTCAGCAAGCAGGCGAGCATCACCCGTTCCAGAGGCCCCGTGGCCTGCGGTAAGTGCCCAGTGCACTCTGCCCCAAGCCCAGACTGTTCCGGACCCCCAAGCCTTCTGGGTGCAGTGAAGTGGCTAAGTGGGCCCCAGGCGCCTACATCCGCCTCCCCATTCCGGCTGTGCTCCGAGAACTGTGGAGTTTCCAGCAAGCAGGCGGGCGCAGTGTCCCTGGAGCCCAGCTTATCTGGAACTACGGAATTCTAAACAGGCAGAAGAGGGCCACTGGTTCTAGAGGCCCAGCGGCCTGGGGGAACTGGGTGCCAGAGTCCCAGGAGCTGGGACCATAGAAGTGGATTTCCAACAGATCCTGAGGAAGCTTTCGAATAACACTTGAAACACAGAAATATAGGAAAATGACAAAACGAAAGACCAAATTACAACATCAAACCTCCAGCCCATCTCAAGAAACCCTAGGAGCAATGTATATAGAAGAAAATATATGCCACACACCTCAAATATCGGACACAATAGCTCCTGAAATAAATAAGCAATTCCAGGAAGAATTCAAACTTGAAATAATCTCCCAGGTAAAAGAAGAAATGATAAAAGAAATGAAAGAGATTCTGAATATATCTAAAGAAAACACAGTTAAAAAATTGGAGGAACTAAACAAAAAGATAGAATCTCTAGATGAGCAATATAAGAAACAAACAGAACACATAAAGCAGATGCACAGAGATATACAGGAAATCAAAAAACTTCACTAAAAGCTGTAAAAACTGCCTCAATGAAAGTGAAGATAGAATTTCAGACCTTGAAGACAGGATTGCAGCTAGTGAACAGGAAAGGAAAGATCTTTTAAAAATAACTAGGAATCAGGAAATAACAATTCAACAACTGCAAGATGATGCAAAGAAAAATAACATAAGATTGATAGGGATTAATGAAAAAGAAGGGGGTAACATAAAGGATGTCAAGAGGATATTTAGAGAAGTAATAGCTGAAAATTTCCCAAGCATGAGCTCAGACACCGACATCAGGTTCAGTGAAGCCTATAGAACTCCAAATAGTCATAACCAAAATAAAACTACACCCAGACATA